TAGTTTTGTCCAGATTGAAAAATGGACATTTCCATTTAATATACTTTGTGTGGTAATGGTTAAACGAATAAATGAGCCGTGTCACGACAAAACCAACATAATGGGTTTGCGACCAGCATGGATCCAGACCCGCCTGCGCATCCGCGCAGTCTGATCAGGATCCATGCTGTTGGTTATCAGTTTCTCTACTTTTAATAGAGTTGGTAAGCGAACAGCATGGATCCTGATCAGACTGCGCGGATGCGCAGGCTGGTCTGGATCCATGCTGGTCGCAAACCCATTATGTTGGTTTTGTCATGACACGGCTCAAATGTACATTGCTAAAAATTCTCACATGATATAAAAATCTGTAAATAATTGATCTCTTGATATTTGTAAAAATGTTTAGTTCAATACAAATTTAAAATATAATATAACATAATCTATCACAACAAACATACATGTATATAGAACAAGTATATATGAAACATGAAAAGGATGACAGCAAATAGAGAAAATAAGCTTATGTTAACACATTGGTTACGATAAACAAATAACATAAAAAGGCTGTATAACCAATAAATATTTGCACCCAAACAAAATCAAACCTAAAAATATGTCAAGCATGAAGGCATAGAACAATATTTCATTATTTTATAACACAGATTTTAGCACTTTATATCTAATATGTAGCCTAGCATTCAATTTAAGCAAACTAAATACTTCAATGTTATTTCATTGCATGTACATTTGTATTAATAAGAATCTAACATTGGACTTCCAAAATTGCTACGACATGTCTGATTTATTGAGTCATAAATGAATTGAAACTATATCGCCATATATTTATATTCAGGGATATTGTTCAAGTTTATTAACCTGTCAATTACATGCTAATAAAATACAATCACTGTTCATGATGAATAAATCTTTGATAGCTGTGTTTTTTATGTTTCATATTAAAGACGTAAGATAAATAATAAGCTAACAATTATGTTAACATTCAGGGTGTGACATAGAATAGACGTAGGGTGTTTATAACAAAAGGGGTGCTTTAACATGATGCTGCTCAAATCCTGACCTATTTTAAACTATGCACACAAATATCCATCAAAGATCCATAACCCACTGAATTTGTGTAATGGATTTGCCCTGCTTGAATTTGGAGCAGTTCATTTGAAAATATAAGGGATTTTCTATCAAAATACAAAAAGTTTCTTTGTACAAAAACACACTGAATTAGAAAGAATATTATCAACTAATGGGCTCAAACCAACAACCTACATGTATGTAATTAAAGGCCAATGCCTTACCCACTTGGCTTACTGGTGTCAACTGTCTATGTCATTATTTGCTTCTGATAATGTAACTATTTAAAACATTAGATTATAAATTCTGTAGTAATTCTTGTGAAATAGATGACTATTACTACTTAATTTATCTATTTAAGATCTATAATGTATGCATAATTAACAGGTTAATAAAATTGGACAATATAATGGAATGTTATTCAAAGAGATACAATCACACATAATACAATAGACACAATGTTTACATTATAAAAAACAAATTTAACAAAATAATCTGTTCACAAGAGCCCCCACCCCCCCCCCCTTTAGATGCACCAATGCTTAGCAAGTATTTGACCATAAAACTTAATTAGTGATAATAATTGTCAAATTAAATCTTATTTTCTATTCCCTTCCATGGACCTTTAAATAATTAACACAAAACTATGATAAGCACTTATAATCATACATTTCAGAAGTGGTGTATGTACATGAAAATTGATAACAAAGCCATCTTATAGAAAATTATCACCAAGATCATAGTCCGAGTATAAAATATAAAGGTTAATTCTCCATTTTGATATGACGGCCACAACAGCTTTATAAGACCACCATAACAGGAGACCTAGCTGTAATATAAAACAAGAAAACCCGGTAATAATGGTTATGACAAAACAACTACTTCAAACTCAATATACATCAGCCACATTTTGATTTATAATAATATATTTTGATCAATTTTCAAAGATCATTTTTAAGCAATATTATGCATTATGTATGCTAATACAAATCTTTATTCTTAGGTATATCACAATCAGGTTTACACACAACAGACAGATGAATTTCTGGTTGTCAAAAAACTTAAAATTTTAAAATTTTTATCTTTCTGCATTTGATTGTAAGGAATCAAAACTTGATAAATTTTTTTAGATGTTTCACAGATAAAAATAATACCAACATACTTTTTTAAGCCAACATATTTGATTTCTTTCCCAGTTTTCTCCAATGTTTGTTGTAATTCTTCCACACTCAAAGTTGATGTTACAATCACTGTCTTTTTATCAACATCTGTTTCTACATTAGTTACTTTATCTGTAATATTAAATAAGGTTGCTCCGTTATTTGACCAAAAAGACAACACATTTGTACAAAAACTATGACCCGAGAATCTATGTCAACATTGTTAGAAACATTTAATTTCTTAGTAATTCAGATTTTGCAAACATTTTTAATGTGGTCAATATGTAACACTCCTTTACGCGCCATCAGATGTTTACGTCAACATCATCAGATTTCTGTTTTGTTATTGAGAATCTCCTCAGTTTAAATCTTGAACTTTATATATACAGAAAAGTCAAAATCAGTATGTTTAGTTTAACAAATAAATGCAATTTTTTATAGATAATTTACATTCATTAAGATTTAAATTTAAAGGTACGACACTTCTATGTAATTTGTAAATTATTTATAATAATAATAATTAATTTATTGATAATGTGAATGTTTTTATGTGTCTTATTTATTGTACAGTACAAATGTAAATGAAAGTTTCAGAGAATCCCTTATCAACGCTTATCAAGGAAATAAAAGTTAAAGGCCTATACTTATAGATTTATTTGAAAGTAGACCAGAAGTTCCCGAACATGCATGATTTGCATCAGACCCTATGCTAATATCAAAGTTATAGGACCCTATACATATAACTAAAACATAAACACTATACATATATAACTTAGTTATTAAACCTTATACTGACAATTAAATTATTAGACTTTATACTAATAACTTAATTTATTGTACATTTTACTGATTACAAAGTTATTTGACACTTATATGATACTGATAACTAAGTTATTAAACTCTATACTGATAACTAAGGTTATTAATTAAATCCTATAGAATACTTATAACTCAGTTATTAGACCCTTACTGATAACTAAGTTACTAGTATTAGACCTTTTACTAATAACTACATGTAAGTATGAGACCCTTTACTGATAACTAAGTCATTAAACCCTAAACAGATAATTAAGTTATTAAATCATTTACTTATAACAAAGTTATTAAATCCTATACCAATAACCAAGTCATTAAAGCCTATACTAAATACTGTATGTTAATGCCCCAGAGTGGTTTATGTACAGTACTGGAAGAAGAAGAAGAATAACTAAGTTATTAGACCATATACAGATAACAAAGTTATTTAATTCTTACTGATATCCTATAATGATAACTTTGTTTTTAGACTTAAAAATCTCTAGGCCAGTAAGATCAAAAGACCTCAATGGGATCCCTTCAACAGCAAATTACACTGTATTAACCATATCATAACTTGCACTGTAAACTTTATATCATCTGTTCTTACAGTAACAATGGCATGTATATATGTTGCCACCTTCCACTTAAACAATGTTTGAGTATCTGACTGTATAGTAAGACATTACAAGAAGTCACAGCTCATGGCAGGTCATTAAAGTAGCAAGCAACAACATATGACGCACGACGCGAGAAAACCGGTCTTAATGACACTACAATAAATGTGCACTACAGCGATTTAAATGACGTCACTCTTATTGCGTATACACATGTAAACACGGAAATGCTTTTTATCGTGTGTTATTGTTTTTAAGTGTATTATCGTTAGGATTCACAGAAAAGTTTATATGATGGAGGAGGAGTTAGAAGTAAGTGTCTATAATGTATAATTTATGAAAAACAGCAACAAAAACATATCATGTTTATTAATCAGAGCATCGAATTGATAAATATTTACTGTTGGTAATTTAACACTGACGTTTACAGTTCTGTACTCACTACTGTACTGTACTGTATATCCACAGTACACCAAGACTAGTATGCTTTGAAATACACAAGAATAAATTAATCGGCAACGTACATCGGTGCCTTTATATAGAATATATTTACGTTGTTTTGATCTTAATTAGATCTAAGTCTACTGTATTGTAGGGGTTTACCATTTGCTTTCATGTTCTATAGGCTAATCTAAATTTAGGTTGCTAATCAGCCGCAAGTTACATTAATACTCTTTTTCATAATTCATCTAGAATATGTTTCTATAATTCATTTAGAATATGCAAGCAATAAAATAATATATGTCCATCATCATGGAATGAAAAAAAAATTTTTTTAGATTTAATATTGTTTTTTATTGATTAATTAGCATGCTTAAGAATTGCTGAGAGAATAGCTCAGTGGATAATGCTGTGGCCTCACATTCAAGTAAATCGAGTTCGTATCCTGGCTGATGCCAACTTTTTATATCCGTTTTTTATTCATTATTTTTTTTTGTCATTCATAAGATCTGAAATCCCTCTACTCTGATTATTTTGGGAGAACACCTATCAACTCACAAAACAGATTTTTCGAGAGATACTGACTTTGATTATTCAGACGTGGAAAAATGTGACACTAGTGCAACGACCAAGTTCTTCTCGCACAAAAAGGTAATAATAGAAAAAATTGTAATAATAGGAAAAGAACAATAATGTAGCAATACAATTATAAATAATTTAAACAAATATCTGCCATGCTTGAATTTTTTCCAAGCGTATTTTTTATAAGATTCAATACACTAAAGAATTTAAAAGAATGCATGTGATTTTTATTCGGACGATATCATGATTCCTATGGCCGTGATTACAAAAATCGTGGTTTTAAAAACTTCAAATTTATGTTTTACTTAGGATATTCTTTTTGTAATTTTATTGGAACGTGATCTATATAATGAGTGCATAAGGCGTAGTGTTGCCACACGTGACTCAGTCCATCTTACGTTTATCCTGATTTTTTTTTTATTTTGTAGCAAAATATTTACAATGATATAAGGGACAAGATGTTAAATATATACTCTAAACTACCATCTTATACAATCAGATATATATCAGTACTAGGGATATACTACTAACATACTACAACCACTACTTGTCAACTCATATAGTATCAGTACAAATACCAGTACTGCTGCACCAGTATATTTAGTTTGAAAGCAAATAAATACCAGTGCTTTAACATTTTAGGGATTTTACTATCATTTTACCAAGTCTGTACACAGTTAAAATATCAGTCTTTTAACTTGGTCCTACTATTTTCTCTAAAGTTAAAAGACTTAATTTGTGTATAGATTGTGTAATTAATTACTTATTGGACTATATTTTAACAAGCATTCGTTATATTTTAGGGCTGGTTGCGTTGGTTAAGACAAAATACAAAATATATGTATCATGAACACTGTAGTATTGTTAAAAAGCACTTCAAATCGCAGCAGGTAATTAAGGCTTTTCAATATTACAAAAAAAATAATTTTCTTTTAAGGACATGCGCGGTGTTTAGTTGATACGGGGTTCGCACATCTAAAGATTAAATTCCGGTGGCATGATTTAGAAACACTTCAACAGCTGGCCCATGTTAAAGAGATGTCATCTACAACCAACAGCCTGTATGTTACCCCAAGTTGTCATGGCGACAATGGAAACCCGTTCTAGAGGGATTTTTCAAACCAATTATTGGTTTAAGGTAACATATGTTTATCTTATTTAAATGCAAATGTTGAAACTCAGAACTCCAGACTCAGAAAATATCTTAAACATGAAAAATTAAATGTTAATTGTTTCTTTAATTGTTTACAAGAAGCTTTATTTTCTTCTTCGATTTAGTTTAACTTTATATTATGAAGACAATGTAGATACTGTATAAATGATCCTTAAAGAGTAATAAGCTCTATCTGTTAAAATACTTAATAAAATTAAACGTCCATGGCCAAGTGGTTAAGGTCGTTGACTTCAAACCACTTGCCCCTCACCGCTGTGGGTTCGAATCCCAACAGGGACTTTGGATTCTTTCATGTGAGGAAGCTATCCAGCTAGCTTCTGGAACGTCGGTGGTTCTACTCAGGTGCCCGTTCGTGCCTGAAATAATGCACGGAAGGGCACCTGAGGTCTTCCTCCACCAGTAAAGCTGGAACGTCGCGATATAACCTATACTGTGTCGATGTGACGTAAAACCCAAACAAACAAATAACAAGAGGGCCATGATGGCCCTGAGGTCGCTCACCTGTATATAGGCCCCCCCCCCCTCCCCGGGCCAATTTTTACCCAAGGGCTTTTATTTGTTTATTTGAACAGACTTGGTAGACACCCATAAGAAGATGTTTCATGCTAAACATCTAAGTTCTAGCTCATTGGGTTTTTTAAAAGAAGATTTTTAAAGTTTTTACTATACACATATAGTTAAAAACAATGACACCCCTGGGGCAGGGCCAGTTTTGACCCCCAGGCTTTTATTTGAACAAACTTTGTAGATATTTACTTAAAGATGTTTCATGCTTAATATCTAAACTCTAGCTCTTTGAGTTCTTTAAAAGAAGATTTTTTAAGTTTTTACTATATGCATATAGGGAAAATCAATGACCCCCCTGGGGCAGTGCCAATTTTGACCCCAGGGCTTTTATTTGAACAAAACTTGGTAGACACTCATTAGAAGATGTTTCATGCTAAATATCTTAGCTCTAGCTCTTTAGGTCTTTAAAAGAAGACTTTTTAAGTTTTTACTATATGCATATAGGGAAAATCTATGACCCCCTGGGGCCGGGTCAATTTTGACCCCAGGGCTTTTATTTGAACAAACTTGGTAGACATTCACTAGAAGATGTTTCATGCCAAATATCTAAGCTCTAGCTCTTATGGTTCTTTAAAAGAAGATTTTTTAAGTTTTTACTATATGCATATAGGGAAAATCAATGACCCCCCGGGGTGGGGCCAATTTTGACCCCAGGGCTTTTATTTGAACAAACTTGGTGGACACTCACTAGAAGATGTTTCATGCTTAATATCTTAGCTCTAGCTCTTTGGGTTCTTTAAAAGAAGATTTTTTAAGTTTTTACTATATGCATATAGGGAAAATCAATGACCCCCTGGGGCGGGGCCAATTTTGACCCCAGGGCTTTTATTTGAACAAACTTGGTAGACATTCACTAGAAGATGTTTCATGCTAAATATCTAAGCTCTAGCTCTTACGGTTCTTTAAAAGAAGATTTTTTAAGTTTTTACTATAAGCATATAGGGAAAATCAATGACCCCCGGGGCGGGGCCAATTTTGACCCCAGGGCTTTTATTTGAACAAACTTGGTAGACACTCACTAGAAGATGTTTCATGCCAAATATCTTAGCTCTAGCTCTTTGGGTTCTTTAAAAGAAGATTTTTCAAGTTTTTACTATATGCATATAGGGAAAATCAATGACCCCCCGGGGCGGGGCCAATTTTGACCCCAGGGCTTTTATTTGAACAAACTTGGTAGACACTCACTAGAAGATGTTTCATGCCAAATATCTAAGCTCTAGCTCTTAGGGTTGTTTAAAAGAAGATATTTAAAGATTTTTCTTTCGGTTGCCATGGCAACCAGAGTTCTGCATGGAATTAAATTCTTTGAACAATTTTTAAAGGTGATCACCAAAGGAACATTCCTGTGAAGTTTGGATGAAATTGGCTCAGTGGTTTATGAGGAGATGTCATTTAAAGCAAAAGTTTACGGACGGACGACGGACGACGGACGGACGCCGGACGGACGGACGGACGGACGGACGCCGGACGAAATGCGATCACAAAAGCTCACCCTGTCACTTTGTGACAGGTGAGCTAATAAAATTTAAAAAAAAACAGAAAAAAACGTAAGGAAAAAGGTTGTGTAATCACATATTAATAGAAATTGTTGTTACATAGAATGTCTCCACATGTATATTGTTCGTGATCAGCATAAAATGTTTCGGAGCAAAATATTATGCAGAGGGAATTCGCAACATATATCCAGCTAATACACTTTAATGTGAAATTCTGTAACATTTTTTTCTGGTTTAATTAGATTTATATGTACGGATAGTAATATTTTACAAAAACATAAATAATTTACACACATTTACAGTTGATGAAAATCAGTCATGTGACCAAGTTTACTGTCATGCTCTAAAAACTGTCCAAGCTCTTCCGTTCTTTTAACTTACCGAGTTGTGAATGTGCTCCGAATAATGTTGTTTTTTTATTTATTAAAGCATATAAGGAAATAAGTTTGCGTTATTTTTCATTACGGATATTAATATTTATCATTTTTCTATTGATAGAAAATTTCCGGTTCCAGTCGAACACACCGGGTGTGGTTATGGGCAAAATAACACCTGAAGGCGAGGAATATCTGATTCAAGTCTTGAAAGAACAAGGATTCCGGTTCAGTTCATGTGTCCGTCCAAGCGTTATTACGCATAGGGAATGTCAGCAGTGTCGCGAAGTGTGCGTGTGTTCGTCTGTCAAGACAGTTAATCATATTATCAGTGATTAAGGTGCACTGTTATAACAGCTAAGTGCAGATTTAAATATCCAAAACTGTTGTTGTTAAAATATACGGCCATTGCTTCTGTTATAAAGAAACTGTTATAAAGAAAAAGAGAACTTTTTTATTTAACTATGTTTTTTTTTTCATAAGTATTAAACGTTAAACGTAGACTTATATACTTTTGTTGATTTATTTCTTTTGGTATTTACCTAAAAATTTGTCTCATTTCAATCTATGTGACCCGGGCATACTAAAACCCACCTTCCCGTTCAATATATATTTGTTTTTCAAGCAGTATATAGTATGAAAAATTCCCGTAAAGATGATGAATAATTTTGTCCACATTAAAGGTATATAGTGTTGTAATGGTTGAAAAAACAATTATTTGCGCCATGTATGACTCGCTTATGGGCGTTGTTATAACGTTGCTAAGCAACGCTAAAATCGAAATAAGCGGGAAGTCTATAGTTTAAATAACTTAATTACTAACTTCTTTACAGCTTAAACATACTGATGCAGTGAACTTAAGATTTAAATATTATTGCCGTTTTAATTTTCCAATTAACAACGTTAAACGTCAAAATTTAATTTTTCGACGTCATTTGCTAACAAAGTGATCAAATATATGACGTTCGTTAAATTGGTATATCTAAATAACTAACCCTTTGATTTGAAAACGGTTTTCACCGTCATATTCAGAAAGAAATTCTCTACAATAATATGTGAAAAACCAAATTTCGAAAAAAATGTCATTAAGACCGGTTTTCTCGCGTCGTGCCTCATATATATATGATGACTTTGTCAAAGGTTTTTTTTTTACAAAGTCAAGATGCTTATTTGGACCAATAACTGTTACCAGTATAGTACAGCTATAGTTAGGCCAACATTTTTTATTAAATGTTTTACGGGAATAATATTGTACATGTATAAGTTTCCTGAGGATTTAGTTATTTTAAACAACCAGTTGTGAAATGATGCCAGAATACTGGCCCCAAACTTTTTGTACTGGCTTATAACTAACTTTTGTACTGACTGGTAACTTTAGAACTGGTCCACATGAATGACAATACAGACAATGTTATACACAAAACACCCGAGCCCTAAGCCTTTACCAGGAGCAGATTCTTTCTGTTTTTTCTTTTCCTGTATAAGTTTTGTAACACAAGTGAAATCCAAGGTAGCACTTCAGGGTTATGAATTTTATGATTTATGAAATATTTGTATAGGTTCCCTAAAAATGTTACATTCCAAATATCATATCTTTAGGCCTGTCAGTTTCAGGGAAAAAAGTTAACCATATAAAAGTCTTATTAAAATGTGACCTCTGACAATACAGGGCTATTTTTGATCCTAGGTGCATGATTTATAACAGTTTTTGACTGTATTTTTTGCTATGCTACCAAATACCTAATAAGCCCTGTTCTTTCAGAAAAGAATTCAAATGTTTTCCTATGTCAGGTTAATTAAAACAAGTAACACAAACTATTTTTTTATCTGAAATTTTATGTAACTATTTTTTTATTTTTGAAGAATTATTACAATTTTGTTTATCAGATTGATTTATAGTTCCTGCATCTTACATATCTAGGAATAAATATTTCATTGAGGATCATATAAGGGTCATTCTAGCAAAGTTTTAATAATATATAACCATCTGTTTAGGAAGACATAATTATTGTTTTAAGACATTGTAGATAAAGATGGTCACAAACATGCATTAATCTTCTCCTGTTACAAAATGGCATATCTCAAGTTTACTATATGCTAAAATAAAGATAAAAATACCATTTTCTGACAAAAAATAACAAAAATCTTTTTAAATACTTAAATATTTATCATTTCCATTTGCCAAATTTGAAAAGAAATTAATTTTTGAAAAGAATAATGGAAACTTTGCAGTGGAAGGATTCTCAATTTTTCAAAAATAAATTTACTAGGCAATCATTATTGTGTGCTAAAAAACAAAAAAACTCAGACAAAGTATCACTGACTTCAACCCAGAGACAGAGATGAGGAGCAAGTTAGTAATTTAACATTGAGTACTTCATATTCATTTTGGTAAAATATTATACATATATTAAATCCATACATAAAAGTCAATTTATTTTAATTCATACCTCCTAGTTTTCCTAGAACTCGTTTAGCAGCACCAGCACATCCCTCACATGTCATACCCATAGTAAACTCATGTACCTGAAGTATGATGTAATCATTCAACTTTGAAAATATTATACATTTAGAACACACACAGTGGGTAAACACATCTATTCCAGACAAATATATTGAAAATAACAAGAATAACCTTAAATGGTGATTTATTTATGATGGGATTTACTTAAATGACTGCAGAAACAAGTTTATTAGATGAAGACATTTACTATTCAAATTTTATAACAGTTAATAATACAACATAATGAAACCCCTTTCTTCCACATGATATTCTATTTATCAACAATGTCAGGTCAACTGGTCCCTTGGTCAACTTGGCCCTTTTTTTGGTCACCTCATCCTGGACAAGTTAATCCTCCCCCCCCCCCAACATATTTTAGGTGACATGCATTTTAACCAGTTCATGTGCATTGCTCTAATATAAAATATATTACCAATGACATAGATACAAGAGATAGGCAACTTCCTAGCCAGTTAAGATATCATGCATGCTTGCTAAACTTTGAACTAGTACAAGCAAGTAACTCTTAGTCTTATTCATCAAAAATCAAACAAAATGCATTAAAGTAATACATTTTCTGAAAGCTAATACATTTATCTGTGGCTGCAGGTAAAAAACATTTACAGTTCCCATTTAAATAAATGTATTAATTTCATATTATTTCGCAACTGCTGAACCATTACACAAAGTTAGTTAGAAATCAACTTTAAGTAACTTTAAAATAGTTGCAGTAAAATTATATCAAGTATAATTATAGATTACTGTAATTAATTGAAAATGCCATTGACATTTGTTCTTCTATCACTTAATTTAGGTTACACCGGGATATTTGTGTAATATTTTCCTTGTTCAGGAACAATGTGATAGATTTTTCATGTTTTGAGAAAACCACCATTCATAATCATTATAACATGTGACCCAATAATGGCTCATCCAACCCGCTATTGGCATGTTTACAAGAAGTTTGAAAATGGTATTGACCTTTTCGAAAACCTTGCTAAACACCGTTTTCCGGTACGTTACAGATTTAGCTCTGGGGAATTACACCAAATGAAGTACATAACACAGATACATGATATTTCTATTTTTCTATCATTATTTTACCGTTTAAGGTGAAAAAAATTGATGTATTTGAAAATTATCAATATTCCTTTAATATCTATTGCAAATTTTTCAAAAAATAAATTGTTGATAATGAAAATCAATAAAATTAAAACAGACGTAGTGGAATCTTCCATAATATATAAGGTTATTTTCTGCGTAAACTTGTGTATTTACTTTATTTTTTGTATGGAATTATTCATACAATGATATTTAATTATTTTCGTATAAAGAAAAAACTGTTTTATTTCAATTTAATTTAAAAAAAGGCCGAAAACATTGAATTTGCTATTACACTCCACTAGGTGAATTCCCCAGAGCTATGTACAGAATGTACCGGAAAACGGCAGCACGAAATACCCAAATATACCCAAATACACCCAAATATACCCAAATATAGCAATATTTATTTTTGTCTGTATAAAATATAGATTATAATGAGAAATAAATAAATATTTATAAAATAATATGACTTATAGCCTGCTAAAGCTTTCATTCATTCCGTTGAAATGGGCAGTTTTAAAGATGTTGTAAGAAAATAAAGTTGTGACATTTGCTTATCTACAATACAGTTCATTATGAATGTACTTGCAATTTTAATTCAAGTTATGATATTTGTTGTCTACATTTCTAAGGTGTAATTTTGTTGAAATTACATATCATATACAAATGTCCATGTTATTTAAAATAGCTTTAATGGAGTACATATACTGTACTTTGGTTCAAAACAATAGGAAAATGTATATTTGGGTATGTTTGATTATATCTTAGTGAAAGTGTATATTGTATTCATGATTAAAACAGCACTTTTTTAGTGTAAAACATTTATTTTTAGTATTATTGGGCAATATTTGGGTATATTTGGGTATATTTGGGCAATATTTTGTATATTTGGGTGTATTTGGGTATATTTGGGTATTTCGTGCTGCCCCCGGAAAACGGCGTTTAGCTAGGTTTTCGAATTCGTGAATAAATGCACATAATGCATTCAAAATATAAATTCACAGGACGTTTACAGTAAAAATGGAATAAAAATACTTCTAATCAATCTGCATTTAAATATAAATTTAAAACTCATTCGTTCATTAACTCTTAAAGTGTCACTAGTGATATGAAAGGTGTGATAATCCAAATATGATTTATAATTAATTAAAGATATCGCATAAGGCAAAATTGAGCAAGATCTAATGAGCGCCTACAGACACTGACGCACAGATACATTATTTATTTGTTTCTTAGAGTTTACTGCATTAAAATATTCGGTTTCTGGCGACCTTCAACGTATGATAATTTTCTTTTTGAGGTGAGTAAATATGAAAACACCTACTTGAGACATTTTAACTGTATAAGTGATAAAACTCCAAGCTTTCAAGTTACAATTTTTACACGTCTCTACCTATCAAGCGTCTGAATGAAGAAAGTGCAATAAACGAAAAACTACACAAGTCGGTCAACGCGAGAACGCGAATAGTTTACACTCAGAATGATCTTGATAAGGAAGCACCTTTAAGTATGTAATTATTTTTTCGAAAAAACGAAAATTGTAATCGAATGATACACCCTCTGATAAAAAAAATACAACTATTTTTTTTTATTTCGTCAACTTTTAATTTGTACTCTACTTTCACTTTTATCACGTGAAAATGAGTATGAACTGGTTTATAACCTTTCTGACCCCGGAAATTTTGTATGTATCATATTTTATTGTTCATTTAACTAGTTTCATTTTTATTTGTTATGCTTTGAGAGTATATTTGTTTAAGAATTTAAATAACAAAATGAAGTAGTAGATAATGTTTGGACCTAAAAAATTAAAAATACTGTAATATTCAGAAACAATCATTCGACTACCGTATGTATTTTATGCAAACGCAAATTAATGAAATTATCTCTCCTCTACAGTAAGATAAGTAAGATTCTGACTCAGAACAGTCTAGCTTTGGTATTTTAAAATATTTTTACTATGACATCTCATAGTGTAGGGCCTTCACTACTCACAGGATTTCATTGAAAATGGTTTAGTGTATATTAATTATTATCAGGGTTTTGTGATATAATCATTATACTAATGTAATTATGACCATTTGCAGACATAAATTATACATATTATATATTTTAGGCAGAGCTGGTTAAATTAAACTCAGCAAGACTCAAATGATTACTCTAGACTATTACTAATTTAAGTGTCACAGCACTTTAAGACACATTTGGCTGGTATACAACAGAGAGGAGGCATCCATATGCCAGTTTGATCATTTGTTATAAGATATGCCAAATACATGTATATCTTGCTTTCCTGAACATTGATTTGTTCCACTTTAAAAGAGATAGTTTAAAGCAAATCTAGAATACAAATATGTTTAATTGTTGACATGTTATGTATCTGACATGGTATATTTACAGATAATGATTAAAATGTACCTGGTTTTGTTGATGTGTTTGATCTATTCAGTGGCGGCCCAAGTTCCACCTGTAAGTGCATGTAGAATTCCTTATATGTTGATCTGTACCTAATTTCTAATAAACTTTAATCTTGACTCAAAACAAAGCACATAATTGTATTCAAAGATAATATTCTGAATTTTATACATATGTTTATAAATTAAAGTATGAAGTCAATTCCACATCAAAGTCAGTTTCATGACATAAGCATGATACATTGTATTTTAGATCTGACATTATGAGATCAGTATTAAAGTAAAATTAACTCACAAAAAATATGATTTTATTTGTCTTTCTTTATCTTCTTTGTTACCTAAACATTGATCAGAATTAATTTATAACTGCTCAGCCTCTATTTTTCTTTAGTTGAATCTTTTGTTTTTTTGATATCTGAAATAGTTTTTAAGTTCAATTAATGGTCATAAAATTTATTAGATTTGATGATAATTTAAACCTAGCTGACTATACATTGTGTCCAACCGCTAATACTTTAATGTTATTGTATAAGATGACTTTGCAAATATGGAAACATTTTATATATATGTATATTTTGTTCTCCTAACAAGCCTTTAGTGAGAAGCTGTGATTTTCATCATGAACATGTATACTATCAATCACTTTTGTTGTTATTGGTTTTTTTACAGTATACAGAAACATGTGTGCAAGGAGCATACCCACCTAAAGCACAGTGAGTAATTAACAGTTCCATAAACCTTAAAGCTTTATGTCTGCAGAAGATAACATATCAAACTGATTAAATGAAAAAAATATATAGTGCCCAAAAAGTTATAACTCTCTTTTTGAATAAATTTGCAGTTATTGCCCTCTGTAACTGTTAGATTTAAGCTCATTGTAATTTTTCATTCTTGACAATGTTAGATTTAAGCTCATTGTAATTTTTCATTCTTAACTTTGTCCTGAGCTTATTTATATTTGAGTCAATTTTATGTAACAGCATGAAACTTCATAATACCAAATTGACAAAGCTGAGTGTAGGTAGCATCTAAGCCAGGACAGTTGCTGTTTTAATTATATTTTGCTTAGATTAAATATCATTTCCCCACTCAGTATTGTTCTGTACAGGCAGAATTTGTTCTTTGAGTTTTTTTGTTTGATATGCTTGTAATATGACGTTGTTATTTCAGTCTTAAAGTTCCAGAGTATGTAATAAATCTAGACCTACCACCCTCACAAAGATGGAATCAGCTGGCTTCAGATAAGAAAAATGAGGTAGCCTGTAATACATATTTTTATGTCAGATTTAATAGCTTTTTATTTGTATATGACACAAATTTCTAACACACATGCAATAACATTTCTCCTTTTATAATAACATTGTTAACTATTTATAATATTTTTAATGATAAAGCTGTGCTGTTTAAATTACTCTCAAAAGGAAATTATGACCTATGGTTGCTTGAAAATTGATTTATTACCTATTTACACACTGACATAAGGTCCCTTATTACACACTGACATAAATTCCCTTATTACACACTGACATAAGGTCTCTTATTACACACTGATATTAATTACCTCATTACACACTGATATTAATTACCTCATTACACACTGACATTAATTACCTCATTACACACCAACATTTATTACCTCCTTACACTCTGACATTAGGTCCCTTATTACACACTGACATTAATTACCTCTTTACACACTGACATTAATTACCTCTTTACACACTGACATTAATTACCTCTTTACACACTGACATTAAGTTGCTTATTACACACTGACATTAATTGCCTCTTTACACACTGACATTAATTACCTCTTTACACACTGACATTAATTACCTCTTTACACACTGACATTAATTACCTCTTTACACACTGACAATAATTACCTCATTACACACTGACATTAACTTAGAACTAGGTCTTTATGAATTTTTTTTTATGTCTGGTAAAATACAGAAACTGATATTCCAGGGGTGGCAAAATCAATTGTCCGTATTGCCCAGGTTGTCCCACAGCCTGTACGGACAAGTGAAAATATTCAAGAATTAACTACCTAAATATCATACAGACAAGTTAAAAAATGCTTCACATAAAAAGGGACAAGTAAGTCAAAATCAGATTTTGCCGGCCCTTTATTCTCAGAAGTGTTACAAGTTTGGTTTTCAAGTATAACAGAGTATGTTTCCATTTCATGATGAATGAAAGTAAGTGTATGTGTCAGTCTCCCAACCTGCCATCATTTTCTTATAGTTCCACCTGATAAGTTATAAAAAATGATAATTTTATGCATGTCTCTTGTAAGGTTTCAGATTTCAGTTTGAAGTATCATGTTTGCTGGGGAGTCTGTGGCCGTGTGGTTAAGGTTGTTGACTTCAAACCACTTGCCCCTCACCGCTGTGGGTTCGAATCCCTACAGGGACTTTGGATTCTTTCATGTGAGGAAGCTATCCAGCTAGCTTACGGAACGTCGGTGGTTCTACTCAGGTGGCCATTAGTGCCTGAAATAATGCACAGAAGGGCACCTGAGCTCTTCTCCACCTGTAAAAAAGCTGGTTGCGCGATATGACATATACTGTGTCGATGTGACGTAAAACCCAATATAAATAAATAAATAAATCATGTTAGCTATGGATATATGAGGTGATATTGAGAATTTGATTTATAATCTTAAAAAATATATATATAATATAATCAGATACTAGTAATTCTATTTCAGATCAGAACCATTTTAGATGCCTTCAAAACTTTTATTGGTGAATTTGGGATTATTGCAAAAGAAGTGATTTATTTTATAGATTTACTTGGAGTAAGTTAAATTTTTGTTTTATCATCATTATATGTTTTATTACTTTTACCTTTATGATAATTCTTATTGTCAAAGATGTATTATAGCTATGAAATTTAGAAATAACTTGTAATTTCATAGAAGTCAATTAATGAGAGCATGTAGGAAAGACAGAAAATTACAGTGTTAGGGCATTACAGAATTGGTTCAAATATTCAATAAGTATTTTATCACATTTAGTACTTTTGTTTGAAGCTCAAAATGTCTAATGTGAAATATTCAACACCCGAGTCCAAAGCAAAACAGTTAACAGTACCAGTGTTTGAAGCACAGTGCTAAACAATTTCTAACATTCAAGACCAATGCCTGAAGCAAAATGGTAAACAATGTGTAGCATTTTAAATCACTGTTTGAAACAAAATGGTAAACAATGTGGAGCATTTTAAATCACTATTTGAAACAAATGGTAAACAATGTGGAGCATTTTCAATCACTGTTTGAAACAAAATGGTAAACAATGTGGAGCATTTTCAATCACTGTTTGAAACAAATGGTAAACAATGTGTAGCATTTTAAATCACTGTTTGAAACAAAATGGTAAACAATGTGGAGCATTTTAAATCACTGTTTGAAACAAAATGGTAAACAATGTGGAGCAGTTTAAATCACTGTTTGAAACAAAATGGTAAACAATGTGGAGCATTTAAGACCAGTGTTTGAAGCACATTGGTAAACAATGTCTGGCATGGTGTTCTAGAAATATGTTCCCCCAGATGATATAGTCTGTAATTGTAAAGATTTTTACTTTTTGCTATGATCTCATGGGAAGTTATGAATGGTAGTTTCAAGAATCTTGTTCGTATAGATTGTTTTACTTGTTATTATAGAGCATCTTGCATCTTGCTGCATATATGTACTGTTAAGTTCAGAATTGTTTATGTTATACATGCATTTGTTTATTTCAGCCATTAGTTGTTGATGCATTGCCACAACCATTCCAAGATGAACTAAGAGGAATATCAAATGCTACAGGCATTGAAATAGGTAATGGAACAGATTCATCATGTTAAATCATGACCTGAACAATCTAAACTACACTTATTATGCTGCCCGAAAAATTCCGAGGGAGCATATAGTCGTCGGGTTGTCCGTCCGTCAGTCTGTACATACGTACGTCCCGAATTCGTGTCCGGCTCATAACTTTGTAATTTGAAGTCAGATTTTAAAACTATTTCACAGAAATGATCACCATATTGAGACGACATGTCGCGCGCAACATTTGGGTCGCTACCTTGAAGGTCAAGGTCACAGCATGACCTTGCAGCAAAATCGTGTCTGGCCAATAACTTTGTTATTTGAAGTCAGATTTTAAAACTATTTCACAGAAATGATCACCATATTGAGATGACATGTCATGCGCAACATTTAGGTCGTTACCTTGAAGGTCAAGGTCACAGCATGACCTTGCAGCAAAATTGTGTCCGATTCATAACTTCGTTATTTGAAGTTGGATTTTAAAACTATTTCACAGAAATGATCACCATATTGAGACAATGTGTTGTGCACAACATTTGGGTTGCTACCTTGAAGGTCAAGGTCACAGCATGACCTTGCAGCAAAATTTCACAGAGATGATCACCATATTGAGACAATGTATTGTGCACAACATTTTGGTTGTTTTTACACTTTTAACTTTGTCTGTGACATAACTCTGACACTACAAGAGGTATATCTTCTGTGTCCAAAACCTATTCGGGGAGCATCACCCGGTTCAACCGGCTCTTGTTGTTTTATGTTTTTCATGCAACAATTTTTGACAGAGTGTATAGTTGATTGTTTGTTCAGCCTTTGTACTGTTCACCATGTCACACTTTCTACTAGTGTCTCATAGCTCCTATATTTATTGACTGATGTCATAAATATTTGTTTCTGTTAGTACTGTCCTGAAGCTTGAACCCTCTACCCTGGATAAGTTTTCATGTTAGTTGGGTCAAAGTCACAAGACTAAAAGTAGATTTTTCCTACTTTTTATCACAGTGTGGTTATGACTTTGACATAAGCTGTTGGAAGTGACATTGTGGATAAGCCACTGGTGATACAAATATTCTTTTGTCAATAATTATATATTTTGTGGTAATACAATTTTTATCTATTATGATTAGTAGATTGATGAAATATATCTTAGTCATAACATCTATACAGTTGTACTTCATTTCAAATGTACAAAATATTCAATAACATTAAACACAGAATCACAACAGACTAGCTATTTCATTAATGGTTACATAAGCACCATTTACAGTGTTTAATATCAAAAGGCTTGTCCATTTTTACTTAACTCAATAATGTAAGTGTTAAATCCAGTGTTGTTTGATTTATGTTTGAGATATGTTCATTACATATGCTGTGGTTTAAAACAATGTGTCCTGTACTACTGATTCAAGTACATGTAATATATTTGGATAAATTTGAAGGAACATGATAAAACAAGTTTATTCTGGTGCAGAACCAGGCAATACTTGTTACATAACTGACCTTAGCAGTATACAATCAACTAAAATAATGTAACAAACAATCCAACCAGATGTAAAAAACTCAGCCTATCAACACAAAGTGTTACTTTTATAATAGGCATGAATATGACTGTGAGTGTATACAATATCAGTATTTCGTTCTTACAATACTTTTAATTATTATTTCATTATTAGATTTTGATCAAAAGCTTAGTGCTGCGAGAGGATCTATGTTAAAATGTTTAAGATTACTGAACTTATTGGTGTATTTTACCATTATAATTGAAATGCTAGATGAAAGGCAAAGGTGCTCTATTTGAATTACTTTACAGGAGATGTACAGTATGTATGAAGTTGTATAATGATATTCTATTACAGTGTTGTTTACTTTCATCTGTTTATCTCATTGAAATAAAAAAACTTCAAGTGTGTACTTATGTTTCAGGGGAGATAACCCTCTACAATATATTTTATGAGATCTTTACGGTTTGTACATCTGTGATAGCTCAAAGTCCAACAGGAAAATTGTATCATGCCAGAAACCTAGACTTTGGACTGTTTATGGGGTAATGATTTATGTTAACATTGGTAAAGTTTTTTTATGTTGATTGACATTAACAAGAAATTTCTGTTATTCCTTCAAAATGATTGTAGCATTTATAGAATGTCATTAATGATAATCCATGTAAGTTTATCAGCGTGTAAGGCTGTTACTTTGAGGCTGTAGAAAGTAAGAAATTTGGATTGGTTATACATGTTGCACATACAGCTGTAAATGAGCTTACATACATGTCTGCTGTAGTTTTCACAAAGCACAGTATAATTATGCCCTGTAGTGGGAAAATTCATTTAGTCCAGTCTTATTGTACAACGAGGTAGAGGGCCATCTTAAAAAAACCCTTATCCCATTTTTGGCACATGTCTGCAGACAACTTTAACTTGGGCATAGCATCTTTATTTTATAAGCTGAGCTATTATACTTAAAAAGTGCCATATAACGTCTAGATGATACATTGAAATACAAATGTATAACATCAGGTCCTTGGCCCCTGAATGACCTTAACCTTTAAGGTTATATTTTCAAAATTCAGCCAATTTTAGCATATCTTATAACAATCATAAACAGATTTGAAAGTTGCATTTGTATTTTATAAACATGTCATGTTATCATTATATGAATTATCATGTGTTATAGAATTAGTATTGTATATTTCAGATGGGATATTAAGAACAGGACATGGTATATAACAGAGAAGCTGCGACCTGCTATTGTCAACCTGGTCTGGCAGAGAGCTGGTAAAACAGTGTTTAAATCTGTCAACTATGCTGGATATGTTGGTATACTGACTGCCGTCTCACCTGTATGTATATTTTTTTAAGTTTAAGAAATGTCTTATGATTTGCATTAAATTTTTGTACTTAAGTATAATTTTTCAAACTTCGTTAAAGCTCAACAATCAACAAAATACTTTAGCTTAGTTTCCTCATAAAATGAAATTTCAATTAACAAACCTATTACAGGTTTATGTGTGATTCAATATAGTGTAAATCTGAAAGGTACATGTATAGATCAATTAATTCACAAAGAATAGAAATTTAAAAATTGTTGGTACATCCATATAAGTGTCTGAAATGCCTTGGAAAATCCTGCTGTATTACTTTGTAGTTTATAGTTAAAACCTAAATTTTAGCTTTTATTTTATTTTGTGTTTTTATCAATTTTTTGAGTCCAGGTATAAATCAGCTATCATTTTGTTACAGGGTCAGTTTACACTGTCAATGAATGAAAGATTCAATATTGATGGAGGATATAGAGGTATGTATTTTATAAGATATATTTTTTATAGATATTTAATATAAAATATACTTAATATTGTCGTTAGTTTATACAAATTTATTTTAGTTTGATTGTGTTGAAAGCTATAAGCTTTTTGAAACACCCTTAAAATTGTTCCTGGAACCAACCAGTACTAAGCAATAAATGCTTTATAATTTTCAAAAGATTTGATATAATTTTTATAATGTACAGGAATCATAGATCTCATCCTCACTGGTAAAGGAACATGGATGGGATTCCTTACACGCAACACCATGGAAACAGCACAGAGTTTTGATGAAGCCAAGTATATGTTGACATTTAAACAAATGATTGCCCCAGCTTACTTCATATTGGGCGGGAACAAGACAGGGCAGGTAATGCTTGACATAACTTTAGAAAATATGTAGTGTTATTTTCAGGAGGCAATATTTTAGAAGAGTTTATCAGCAATTTTTAACTGTATCTGAATCATATACTGATAAATGGTTAATTGTTATAATTATTAGAATTGTGGTAGTGGTGGTGTTGGTAGTTTTCACTCCAGATCACTGCTGTAAGCAACATTGTGTTTACCAGAGCACAGTTCAGCCACCGCATCGTTCCTTGGAAGGCTGTCGACCATTTTACCAGTACTAGTTGCCTTCACTATTGCAAGGAACTGATTTCTTCTGTACATGCAAGAGCAGAGGTACAGTGCAAATAACCGTAGAAAGGATTTCATGTTCAATCACAACAAAAATGACCTGCCCCATCCCGGAATTGAACCCAGGTCACCGGATGCACAGTCCAATGCTCTACCAACTGAGCTTTTCGGATGGCTACTAGAATTGCTTAATTAATATCTCTATATCTAAGCAAAACAAGGTATTGCTGTACATATAATCTTCTTAGCATTTTATAGTTCTAATTTGGATGTAGTGAAGTACCGTATTGCTGTTAAAACTGGTTAAGGAACAATCTTAGTATGAAGTGTATATTATTGTAGGCATGTGTAATTACCAGGAACAGGAAAGTAAATGGTACAGATATCTGGCAGATGTCACAGGCAGGTGGCTGGTATATACTGGAGACTAACTATGATCACTGGAAAGCACCATTTTTTCTTGATGATAGAAGAACACCGGCTAATAGATGTATGAGAAATATGACACAAAATGTAAGTAAAACAAGTTACTAGAATACAAATATTTTAATGTTATATTCTTAATAAAACTAAGCATCAGAATTTTGTTTTTTCACTTTCATGTTTATATCATTATACAGCAGTTGTTGAGAAAACTGTTATGGAGTATGTTGATAGTTCTTGGCTTTGCATATACAGATAGTGTCATGGTCAGGTGCTAATTACGAGAGATAGATTCTCATCTTGCTGAATAAATCAGATGTTTATTTGATTAAAGCATGATCTATTATTGTTTAATTTAAAACATGATTATTTATTGGTTTATGGTACACTTTAAAAATACCAGAAATATTTCTGAAATGTTTGTCATTAAGTTTACAATGTGTTTTCTTACAGGGTGTTGGTATAGCTGGACTGTTTAATATGCTGTCTTCAAAACCAGTTCTTAATAAGGTACAGCTATGGTGGTTCTTTTGATTATGTTATTTCTCACTTCTCCTTACTGTAAAAACATAAATGTTGCTTTGTTATTATTTAAATATAGCTCTCATACAATTTTTCAAACCAAATATTGAAGCAGCATGCAATTTGCATTGAGTTTCTACATGATTTTTGATAGCCTGAATTTTTTACTGCACACTTAAACTTTTCTAAATTACAAGAAACTTGTAGTTTAAGTGAAAAATAAACCTTCTTCTTCTTTTTCTTCTTCTAAATGAAAAAAAGGAGAAATATACCAGCAATGGTCAGTTTTGTCTTTCAGTTTGTCTTCTGATGATTGAGTATATTGTCTTTTACTTTACGTGAAAATCTTTACCAAGACTTTAGTGAATATGTTTTAACTTTTTTGTGTAGAAGAGTTATATAATGTCAGTATGTGTGTTTATTTCAGTTGACTACATACACTGCCCTGATGCAGGTGAATTCAGGACATTTAGAGACATGGTTACAGTATTGTGATGATCCTTGTGTACCCTGGTAACCATGGAAACTGTTTGTGTTACTAGTGAAACAACTACAGTAACTGGCATCATCTTACTACAAGTGCGTTTATGTCATATTTTGAAACTCATGACAACACTCAACTTAATTGAAGTCTTGGAAACTGATCTGCAATATAGAAACAATGCTAATATTATACATTGTGTATTTTGATATTATTATTTATGTAACTTAAATTTGTTCTCGGAAGTGTTTGTGTATATGTTAGTATACAAGGAAATGAATTGTTTATGCAAATTTTAATTTTGTCATTATTTTGTATAGGAGTTTTTATTAAGGTATTTAGAACTAAATTATAGTCATGCATTTTAGTGAGGTGTCTAAATATGAATAATTTAACAAATATTGTGTTCTTTTGCCTTCGTTCCAATGTCAAATTTTTTTAATTTATTGGACTCACATTATAAGGTTTGCCAGTTATACCCCTGTATTTACCAACAGATAAAGTCTTTATATTACAGTAATTGTATATATAAGTAATATATTATTATATACTGCAATACTTGTTCAAATATTACATGATCATATGGCATTGCTGGTTGTAGTATAACCTGCATAAATTGTCCTGACATCATCAACTCTTTATAAAAGCAGGGATTGTGACATCATCTTAAAACAACATGTCACTCGATGATTTTGCTGTATTTGCTTTAAATAATAATAATATCATTTGACAATGCATGGGTTTCATTTCATGTATATTTAAGTTCTAAATGCCCCAGAATTGTTACAAAAGCTTGCCACAGACTTATTTTACAGTGCTTTCCTGGAAACATAAGTGTTATGAAACTTTTACACAGATTTGGACTTTGATCTTTTACATTTTGTATAACTAATTGTTAACATAATTTTACAGTATTTGTGATTGATTTATTTTTAATTTATAATTCATTACATTTTGACAAATTCTTTAAATGCCCACTAAGTTTTTGTTTTCCTTTTTTGGTTGCAAAAGTCGTGTTGCAGTGTTTCAATATACATGTAAATGTAGTGATAAATATTTTTATAATGTGATTCATCATTCCTGTATGCATAATATTTAGCAATAACTACACAAATAGTCAAACTTATATTTTAGTGTTTTTATTTTAATTATGATGTTTTTATTACATCATGTACATAATTATCTATTTTCTCTAAGTTTCTGCATGATTATCTATTAGATAGGTCTTTCTTTCATGACAAATATTCTACATAAGGTAATGTCACAGTACCTGATATTTTACACTCCAGAAATATAACATCTTGGAAAGGTTTTTCTTGCCCTACAATACTTGCCTAACTTTTTGTTGAGCTTGGCTGGACATATGCAGTAGTTAAAAATTACATTATGCATTGTACTAAATTTTGTACATTATAATGCACACTGAATGTGTACTAACTTGTGTACATTATAATGCGCACTGAATTTGTACTTACTTGTGTACAATATAATTCACACTGAATTTGTACTAACTTGTGTACATTATAATGCGCACTGAATTTGTACTAACTTGTGTACAATATAATTCACACTGAATTTGTACTAACTTGTGTCACTGAATTTGTAATAACTTGTATACATTATAATGCGCACTGAATTTGTACTAAATTGTGTACATTATAATGCACACTGAATTTGTACTAACTTGTGTACATTATAATGCACACTGAATTTGTACTAACTTGTGTACATTATAATGCACACTGAATTTGTACTAACTTGTGTACATTATAATGCGCACTGAATTTGTACTAACTTGTGTACATTATAATGCACACTGAATTTGTACTAACTTGTGTACATTATAATGCACACTGAATTTGTACTAACTTGTGTACATTATAATGCGCACTGAATTTGTACTAACTTGTGTCACTGAATTTGTACTAACTTGTGTACATTATAATGCACACTGAATTTGTACTCACTTATGTACATTATAATGTGCACTGAATTTGTACTAACTTGTGTACATTATAATGCGCACTGAATTTGTACTAACTTATGTACATTATAATGCACACTGAATTTGTACTGACTTGTGTACATTATAATGCACACTGAATTTGTACTAACTTGTGTCACTGAATTTGTACTAACTTGTATACATTATAATGCACACTGAATTTGTACTGACTTGTGTCACTGAATTTGTACTGACTTGTGTACATTATAATGTGCACTGAATTTGTACTAACTTGTGTACATTATAATGCGCACTGAATTTGTACTAACTTGTGTCACTGAATTTGTACTAACTTGTATACATTATAATGCACACTGAATTTGTACTGACTTGTGTACATTATAATGTGCACTGAATTTGTACTAACTTGTGTACATTATAATGCGCACTGAATTTTTACTAACTTGTGTGCATTATAATGCACACTGAATTTGTACTAACTTGTGTACTTTAATGCACACTGAATTTGTACTTACTTGTGTACATTATAATGCGCACTGACTTTTTACTAACTTGTGTGCATCAAAATGCACACTGAATTTGTACTAACTTGTGTGCATTATAATGCGCACTGAATTTGTACTTACTTGTGTACAGTATAATGCGCACTGACTTTTTTGGAGCATGGGCATTGTAAATATTGAGATATTATTGAAGGTTATTTCTGATATACATGTTAATTTAACTTTGTTGTTATCACTATATTGCTAATATTATATGACTTCCTAGTTATGTTTGTTGTTTGCAAAAGACTGTTTTGAATCTCAGTTTATTTATATGATTTACAAACAGTGCTAATATGTTAATATGGTGTATTATATCACTCTCTATGCTCAGGTATGATATATAAGTATGATTAAACTTTTGATTGTTCTTTAACTATAATTTTATGTAGATAATTAGTATTTATTGCTATGAAAGAAAGGTCACTAACATTAAACATGTACATGTTACCATTCCTTGAATAATTGCAATATTTTATTTTTTTTTTAATCTGATTTTTTGAAAAAATGCAATATTTATTTGTAACAGATAGAGATTGGATGGAGATTTTTTTATGATGTGATAATATTGAAATTAAATTTTGTAAAAAAAAAAAACAACTAGTAATAAAGCATTAAATTATGAACTGTATTGGAAAATATTGAGTCTATATAAAATGTAAACAAGTGAGAACTAATTATGAAAATTAAGAGTGAATATAAAGGCATGTTGTAATTTGCATGGAAACGTACGGTGCCTTTTCATTTATATAGTTATCTACACTTTGTTTCATAATTCTCAGTGTGCTTCAATGAAACTTATATATATATACATGTATATATTGTTCTATTAATATCATGTTGTACAATCCTGCAAACTTTTGATAATAAATTATTTTCTTACACTTTTATTTGTTTTGTTAAGGAGATAATACCTGTGAAGTAAATGTTTAAGATTAATTTAGTTTTTTATGCCCCCCTGGCATATTAAAATGGCAAGGTCCCGTCTGTCTGTGCTTCCCCACATCATTTGAGTCCGGACTGTAACTTTGTCATACATTGAGGGATTTTAAAATAGCTTGACACAAATGTCTTCCACATCAAGACGATGTGTCATGTCCAAGAATCACATCCCTACCTCAAATGTCAAGGTCACACTAACATTTTGAAATTTCACTTATCACAATTAGAGTTTATAGGTACACACATTCGTGACTGGACTCTAATTTTTTCATGCATTGAAGGTTTTTAAAACAACTTGGTACAAATTTTTACCACATCAAAATGGACGTTCTAACGGGACAGTGATAATGTGGCTACTCTATTGTTCTCCCTTTTGGTCTTTTTAGTCACACAAAAGAAAATAGCCACATAAAAGCATTACGGAATGAATGACATCAAAGAGAAAGGACAGTTACCTATTGTCCCTCTAGCCACATAATTACTGTCCTGTGAGTGCGATGTGTCACGGCTAACGCTCATGGCCGTGTGTCTGTCCGTGCGTCGCCACTTCCACAACAATCGTGTCCAGACTATTACTTTGTCATGCACCGAGGGATTTTGAAATAACTTGGCACAAATGTTAACCATTTCACAACGTTGTGTCACATCCAAGAACCACGTCCTTTCTTCAAAGGTCAAGGTCACCCTTACATTTTTGAAGGTTCACGATATCACAATTAGAGATTACAGGTACACACATTTGTGTCTGGATTGTAACTCTGTCATTCATCAAAGGGTGTTTAAATAACTTGGCGTCAATGTCTCAGGTCAAAAACCCATGTCCCTACGTCCAAGGTCAAGGTCACACCTATAATTTGAAGGATGTACACAATCCTCTCCGGACTGTAACATTGTTGTTCATAGTAGGATTTTTAAATAACTTGGCCCAAGTGTCTACCATCTCCTGACAATGTGTCGCTGCTAAGGCCCATATCACCACCTAAAAGGTCAAGGTCACTTAGAGGTTGAATGTATACATTTGTGTCCAAACTGTAGCTTTGTCATGCATGGAAGGATTATAAAATTACTTAGCACTAAAGTCAAACACGTCATGGTTATGTGTTTCATTTTAGACCCATGTCCGTTAGTCAAAAGTCAAAGTCACACTTAAGTTTAAATGTTTCACATTCTCACAAGTAGAGTTTAAAGGTACACACATTTGTGTCTAGACTCTAACTTTTTTATGCACAAAATTGATCGTATGATTTTGTATTTTAGGCTTTTTGATCACAGTGCAACTTCTTGAATGCATTGTTTCAACGTGAGCAATGAAAAAAATGGATGAGAAATGACTCGGGGGGGGGGGGATTGTCAGATTTGTGTATGAGAGATAATAAAAAGTAGTGTAATACCTCTCGTGATAAAATACTACTTTGTTGGTGTCTGAACAGTAATCACATCGATGTAGATTTTACCATTACTCAGGTCAAAACTACGTCTAACTACGACAGTCTTGTTGTCGGGTAGAATATTGTATATATGAAACAATAAGATCACATGACTTATCATAACGTTATCTGATCATCCAGTTGTTCACCATTGTTTGTTATCATTATAATTTTAACCTATATAATCTAATATTAACAACTATTGTTTTGATCAAAGAGAACATAATTGAAGGGATGTGTTGACAACCGGTGTTAATATTTTGTATTATAAAACGCAAAAGAAAGTAAGTGATTTTCTTTATGATAAAACATATACATTTTTGTTCAGCAATATTTTTGTTGAAAACGAATTTTTGAGTTGATTATTTATGAGTATTAAATGTTTAGTCATCGTGTATTTTTACTAACATTCTCTCAGATATCCACCAAATTACTTTAGAAACAAATAGTTATCTGCATCAAATGAATAAAATGTACATGTATTTGTTTTCATTATTTCATATATTGATATTAATAAATAATGTTATAAGAAATAATTTAATCAAGTTTAAGTTTAATCATATTTTATTGCAAATATACAGAGAAACAAATTGATTTCGAAATAACAAATAGCAAAAGGGTTGGGCCCAAGTTCTTACAATATTAGCGATCGGTCCTACCACTTCTAATCAAGTAATATTTGAATTGATGAAATCAAGAAAATACAGTGAATGTATATAATTTAAAACTGTATTTCAGGACAATGATTACACGGGTTGTTACAGCATGCATGCTTCTGGTGGTGGTCGTGTCACAGGATCCTGGGGTGAGCAACACACGCTCTAATAACTGTACATGCTGTTTTATATAATTTACAATACAAAATTTTATGTTCTCCTCACAAATCCAGTGATCTGCCAGATTTATTTCCTTACAGACTGTCGATTTATTAGAAAAAAAAACAAAAGTTTTTATCTTAGTTTTAACTTAACTACATGTATATAATTATTGTTATTTAATCATAAATTCATCAGTATATAAAACTTTCAACTTTTTTCCAGTTTAATGACACATGTGTGAAAGGAATGTATCCGCCTCCAGCTCAGTACGTTGATTCTTTTAACCCTTATTACATTGACTTGTCCATCCGAACAAAAACCAAACATATTTTTTAGATAAAGCTGAATGCATAGCGAAAAATGCAGACATTGGACTGCACTGCTAGCATGGGTAGATTTAGATGCCGCGTTAAGTTAAATTATGCAAAGCCTTGATAATTAAACTGATATTTTTGTTAATTTTTATGTTAACTAGAAAATATTCATATCCCTATTAAATTCTTATAACTACCCGATTAAGACTTGAAACAGAAAAAGGTAAGCGATGAAATAATCTAAGTTACTTTCTGTTTGACATTCGTCTACTCTTTGATTTTACAGACGAGGTGTGAAAGAATATGTTCTGAACTTGGATCTGCCTCCAGAACAAAGATGGCAACAAATTGCTTCTGAGAAAAGACATGAGGTGATTAAAGCTTAAATATTACTTTCATTTCATAACCGCACAACACGTCAAATTTTCCAGACGAACATTAATGGGTATAAAGCTATATCCTACGAAAATAATGAACTTTTAAGTAGGATTTTAACCATTTAGCAATTGTTTTGTGCAGCGCCATTCGCTTTTGAGGCATTTTTCTACCATATTTCGTCTATACAAGCATTTTTGGGAGTATTCCGCTTTTAAATTTAAACACATAAGCAGACACACATGTATATCTTTATACACAGTGACATGTCTAGCAAAGAAGAAGCTTTAACAATTCTAGTGAAGAAAAGGGGGGTACATGTAAATGAACATAAAACACGAAATTGTTGTTTTTAATTGTGAGTTTCTGTCATAGAAAAAAAATGAGTTAATGAAATATGAATTGGCCAATTTGAATGCTGTTAAAAGATTATTTGGCATATAGCAATTATTCTTTGTATTTATGTATATATGTGTGAGGTGTTTTTTTAGATTGTTGCGTTGATAATAGAGTTTAAGAAGTTTCTCATGGAATGGGGAAGTGGGGAAATAATCACAATTGTGGATTTCTTAGGTGTATGTATGTTTATTATGATACTAATAACATTGATAAACAAATTATGTTATACCTCACATAAATGTTTTAGACTTATTTGATTATACCTCAAGTAAAAGTTTTACTATATAGCCTTATGTGACGTCAAATGGTGTTACTTCAATATATCATTTTGGAAATGAATATCACTCGGTCAATATTTTAGTTGGTGCAATATTCTCCTGGGACGGGCAGTCTATATAATTAAATAGACTCTAGAAAACATAATGCTCTAGTTCTCTCCCCTGGTCGATTCTATATCAGTTCGGTATAATAAAAAATACACATATCTCTCAAGGTAATAGTATATATTTGCAACCCTTGAACTGAAATGACACCCTCGTCTCATAAGACTTAATCGTATACAAAACATAAATTATTTAAATTAAGTCATTAAGTCATGCAAAATTAAATGATTTCAATATAATACATTATTTTTGGTCCAGTTAAATATTTGAGGCATCTAGTTTTAGTTTTGAAAGAAACCTACTGTTGTTATAGACATTTTTTCGCAGGATAATATTGATGCTATATTACCAAATCCATACAGGGATGAAATTAAAGGAATAGCAAACGCTACCGGAATATATGAAGGTTTGTTGCATTACATTATCTACCTTTATAAAACTTTAAAATCTTTTTATGATGAGTTTCCAAGTTTCCAAGTTTATTTGATTATCTCAGTATGCATACAAATACATAAACACGAGAAAAAGAATCCTAAATATATATATAAAACCATGTCTACAGAGGACAACATTCATTCAAAAATTTAAAAAAGTTAAACCAACACTAAATATAACGACACATAAAAAGATGTACTATCTTTTTGCAATTATTGGTTAGCTATTTGTAACATGGAAACGCAGCAATGTAATCTTGCATGCATGTTAGACACTAAATGCTGAACAAATAACAAAATCGTCGTTTCATCTTAATTATGTTTCTGTTTTCACAGGAGAGATATTTGTATACAATATTTTCTACGAGTTGTTCACTGTCTGTACGTCTATCATAGCACATGACTCAACAGGAAAAATGTACCATGTCAGAAACCTCGACTTCGGACTGTTTCTAGGGTTTGCATTTTACCTTTTCATGATATTCTTCTTCACTTACGTTACCCATACCAATCAATTATAATTTATAACATAACAAAATACCTCAAAGTGCCTTGATGTTTGACTATAATTTGACATTGTGAAGCTTAATTGTCCTTTGCTATTTCCGGAATGCGCGTTATTTTAATACAATGAAAAACGTAGCCATTAACATTATTTTATTTATAATTGTTGAGAATACTTTAATATTGTAACACTCTCATAATAACATAAAATGTGCTTTATATGTAACTAGATGGGACCCTAAGAATCGTACATGGCAGTTGACTGATATGTTACGACCAGCCATTGTAAACGTAGACTGGCAGCGTGGCGGGAAGACGGTGTTTAAATCTGTCAACTATGCCGGATATGTCGGTGTTCTTACTGCCATCAAACCGGTATGATACCGTTAAATCTGTTAGATATGCAACTGTAGATGTCAGTAAAAAATCCATTTGAAAAGTTAACGTATTTTTGGACATCCCTCGTTTAGTTTTGAGCTTTGAGCTGAACTGTATTGCTCAGAAAATGAAATAATATTGTTAAATAATGTAAGCTAGACATTGTCCTTTATAACATCAACATGATGTATTAATGTATGAAATAACCAACTTTGTGCAAGTTTTAATTTTGTTCTTGTTTTCTTTTTTGTTTCAGAATAAGTTTACATTCAGTTTAGACGAGAGATTCAGTGTAGATGGCGGTTATCTTGGTAATTTCACGTTTACTGTTTTGTACTGTAATACAGTTTTGTGTTATGTGTTATTAAATTTTACAATTGATTCATTGAAAGCCAGACCAAAATGACGACAGAATTACCAAATTTTTAATATAATGCCTAGAATATCATACTTAGCTTATCCCTGTATTTCGTGAAATTTGGAAACTCAATTCTAGAACATATAAATATAACATGTACGTTTTATATCACCAGGTATTCTGGTTTATATTCTCGAAAAAACGGGTAGTTGGACAAGTCTTTTGGCACGAGAAGTATTTGAAAACGCGATTGATTTTGCTGATGCACGTGACAAACTAGCCAATACCCAGCTTATAGCTCCAGGTTACTTTATACTGGGCGGGACCAAACCTGGAGAGGTGAATGTTTGAGTCATTGAGTGTGAATTATAGATTTTATTACATAAATTATCAGAATAGTGAACTGAAATCTCATTTGCAGTTACACGAAGAGCAATATGTATAAGTAACTTTTACTGAACCTTTTCTTGACTATTCTATTACTTGCAATGTTTAAGACATGATATCAAATGAGCGTAATTAAATATGCCAATAAAGTTTGATGTTATATTATATATCCACGCTGTAAGTCAACAAATTTCATGTTTCCTTCTTAGCATACAATTTCTTTACATGTTAAATATGTATTGAATACATGCTATTTTGGTAAAATTTCGAGTCTTGAACTTCGTAAGTAAAGCGGCATATTGTTAACGATAATTGAAACATATATACGACATGTAGTAATATATGTACATACATTTTAAATCAGGGAGTTGTTATCACACGGAACCGCGAGGTTAATGGTACGGACATTTGGGCGATGACGGACAAAACGGCTGGTGGCTGGTTTATTCTGGAGACAAATTATGACCATTGGAAGAAACCGCTCGTCGTTGACAACAGAAGAGATCCTGCCATAAACTGTACACAGAAAATGGGTATACAGGTAATCATAAGGGGTCAAAGGTCACTTTATGTTGATATAAGAAAAGTTAACAAACTTCTCCCAAGATTAAGACCGTTTTATTAGCTCGACTTTTTTTTTTTTGAAAAAAAAAGTAGAGGTATTGTTATAGTCAGGTCGGCGTTGCCGTTGCCGTTGCCGTCTCCGTTGCCGTTGCCGTTGCCGTTGCCGTCCGAAAACTTGTACCTGGATCATAACTTTTTTATTTCTTGGTGTATTGTCTTCATACTTGGCCACAACAACCCTTGGGACAAGACCTTTCAGTAGACCACACTAACCTTGACCTTCATCCATAAATGACCTTGACCTTCAAGGTTAAAAGTCCAATTTTTGCTTGTTCATGCTGTTATTGGCTGTTACTTTGTTATTTTTGAATGGATTGTCTTCAAACTTGAACATAATAATCTTCAAGGATATCCCTTAAAAATAACCAGTCAGACCTTGACATTCACTCATCAATGACCTTGACTTTGAAGGTCAAATTATTGAAATTTTCATTTTTTTGGCTATTATTGGCTGTAACTTTGTTATTTTTGAATGTATTGTCTTCAAACTTGAACATAATAATCTTCAAAGATAACTGTTAAAAATATACCGAAAGACCTTGACCTTCACTCATTAATGACATTGCCTTTGAAGGTCAAATTATTGAAATTTTCATTGTTTTGGCAGTAACTGACTGTAACTTTGCTATTTTTGAAGGGATAAACTTCATATTATAACAGAACATTCTTAAGGACCAGACCTTGTTGTTTATCAAACCCAAATTTGCTTGGGCTCTTTAATGACCTTGACCTTGAAGGTTATATTACTGAATTTTCTCAGATTGTGCATTTATCGGTGTGTGTGTATGTATAGTATATGTATTATATATAAATATATATATAAATGTGTGTGTGTATATATATACATATATGCAGGTATATATATATATATATATATATATATATATATATATATATATATATATATATATATACATATATATATATATATATGTGCATGTATATATATATATATATATATATATATATATATATATACATATATACATATATATATATATATATATATATACATATATAGATATATATATATATATCAAATATATATATATATCAAATATATATATATATATATATATATATATATATATATATATATATATATATATATATATATATATACATATATACATACATGTATATAATTGCGTCATGTTTTTCTATTTTTAGAAATTGCGTCATTTTTTCTTTTTTATAAAATTGCGTCATTGTTGCTATTTTTAGAATTTGCGTCATTTTTTTTCTATTTTTAGAAATTGCGTCATTGTTGCTTTTAGAAATTGCGTCATTTTTTTCTATTTTTAGAAATTTCGTCATTTTTGTTCTATTTTTAGAAATTGCGTCATGTTTTTCTATTTTTAGAAATTGCGTCATTTTTTCTATTTTTAGAAATTGCGTCATGTTTTCTATTTTTAGAAATTGCGTCATTGTTGCTATTTTTAGAATTTGCGTCATTTTTTCCTATTTTTAGAAATTGCGTCATTTTTTTCTATTTTTAGAAATTGCTTCATTTTTTTTCTATTTTTAGAAATTGCGTCATGTTTTTCTATTTTTAGAAATTGCGTCATTTTTTCTATTTTTAGAAATTGCGTCATGTTTTTCTATTTTTAGAAATTGCGTCATTTTTGCTATTTTTAGAATTTGCGTCATTTTTTCCTATTTTTAGAAATTGCGTCATTTTTTCTATTTTTAGAAATTGTGTCATTGTTGCTATTTTTAGAAATTGCGTCATTTTTGTTCTATTTTTAGAAATTGCGTCATTTTTTCTATTTTTAGAAATTGCGTCATTGTTGCTATTTTTAGTAATTGCGTCATTTTTTTCTATTTTTAGAAATTGCGTCATTTTTTCTATTTTTAGAAATTGCGTCATTGTTGCTATTTTTAGAAATTGCGTCATTGTTGCTATTTTTAGAAATTGCGTACTGTTGCTATTTTTAGAAATATGCTTAATGTTTCTATTCATATATATACAAAATATATAAACAAAACTAATGTGACAAGACAGACCAACTAAATTTATAAAAAGGAAACATCAATATATGTTCAAACCTTTCTATGTTTGCGTTTAGAAAAAGTAAAAAGTCGAGCGTTGCCCCCGCCCGGCGGTGGCTCTTGTTAGTTAAGATATTGACTTCTGCGATTTAGTTAGCAAAAACTTAAATAGTTTATGATTTATTTGAACAAGAAAATGTAAGTCATTGAATAAATAAAAGAGGTGTAAAGTATGCCGTTTTAAAAGCAAACACTGGATATATGGTGTTGACACTTCAGTATTAAGTATATCATAATTTATTTAAATTAAGACTTAAATATTTTTATAAATTATATCATAAATTGCAATTATGATAACTTGTTGATCTTGTTTTTGTACAGAATGCAGGTTTTGCCGGTCTATTTAATGTTCTGTCATCTAAACCAGTATTAAACAAGGTAAGTACAATTATCAAGTGTTTTAAGGTCTTTCAGTACTAGTGCTTATGTGACAAGAATAGAACCAAATCCACATGCACATACTTACAAGTCTTCCCTCGGTCTCTTCTTCCCTCACGAAATGTTAGTGGTTTGATATTAAAACACATGGTCCAAATTGAACACAATACACTCTATATGAAGTTGTTACTTGGGAGTTTATTTTGTCACATACAATGGTAAAGTTACTTTTCTAATTTCTAGCAATGATTTAAAAAGAAATGATAAAATATGATATTCATTTTTTCCTGATTCATGTTCCGTGATAAAGATACAACGTAATTAAAGAATGAAGAGTCTTATAAAACTGGGCTGTGGTATTTGAGTTTTCCATTTTAGTCGATTTATTGAGATATTGTCTTGACGAGGAGGTATGAATTTCGAGCCTTTGACGGTTTTATTTCGTGAGAAAACAAATTTATTATTTCATGACATAAAACAAGTATAAGAGATCTATATCTATAAATTATAACAATGTTGATTACACTTACGACAGACAGTCGGTTGTAATAAAATTAACCGAAGATGATCGAGTGAAAGTTTATTAAAGGCCCATCATGCCTGAGGAATACTAATATTTTTATTTCTTAAAGCTTTTTTTATTTTTGATGTCCAGTAAGAGTTTCCGAAAGGTACCCTTTTGCTAATTCCATGAATCATCTTTGCTTCTGCTGCCCTTTGCCGATAAGTACAGTTACAGCGATTTAGTATTTTGTATGGAAGTCAAAATACATGTACTTTTTGTTTACATTTTAATACTATTGTGACAAATAATTTTACATTCAGCGCTACTTTCTACAGGTGATAAGCATGTAACATGCTCTAAAATGATTATTCAAATGTTATAGAATTCATGTTTCTCATATTTTCCTTTTCTAAAAACGGGAAAAAATTATTCGTTTCTGAAGAATATTGTACCTTTAAGTTTCTTTAATTTTCAGTTTTGCTGTCTAACTTAAAGGTTTATACAGCGTATTTAAATCAATTATAAAGAATTCCTAAGGCTTGTGAATTATTTGCCCTTGAAATAAGCAAACTTTTCAAATTCAAGGGAAGATAACTGGAAAAGGAGCCCGATGACACCCGATTTTCGTTTAAGATAATTCTAGTATTATCTTCTAAGATCAGGAAAAATTTAAATTTCAATAAATGCTATTGTACATCTTTACATTCTGCATGTATATCTAAAAATACACCAAAAAGTAAATCAACTCCATTATATAAGCAAACGAACTTGACTTGTATTATATTTAATTTAATTCGTGTCCTATCACTTTGAATTTTAACATATTGTATACATTTCAGTTAACCACTTATAGTGCCCTGATGGAGGTGGATTCTGGGAAACTTGAAACTTGGTTACAATATTGTCCTGACCCGTGTGAACCCTGGTAGTCATGGTAACATAGCAAGGAGATCGGATGGATGGATTGATCATTCAGACATTTTTTTCAAGTATATAAAATGTAAAAAATATTTTGATGGTAATGATTCAGATGTGATGTAATAATTAAGCAAGAAGTGACGTAATAAATTAATTTATTATACAATATATCACAGCTCTGATAATACTCTAAATACATGTCAATGATGTCACACTCCTCCAAAATAATGTTCATAATCTACATCTATTTCATTATCAAGAATTTAAACATGAAAATTGTCTACGCTGAAATAGTTAATATCCTGATATGAACACTAATTATAAAAAAGTAAGATTTGTTTATATATATAAATAATATAATAATAAATAATGTCAAACAATAAAATGTTATGATCCGAATCTATTAGCATATTCACGTAATTGACTTGTCAGATCAGTTAATAAAACTTTCTTGTACATTATCCAGTCTTCCTTTATCTGTAATACAATAATATATGTAATCTTATAATAATATTTGAGCTCAATTTATAAGAAATTTAAAAGCTATGAAAGACAGTGAAGAGCCAGAAAAAATACTGTAACTCCCATGCATTTACACTTAGACGTCTTAAGCTTAGTGTTTTTGAACCTATACAAGTTAGTCAAACAAGACTATCGAATATTGGAACATTTCTAAAACCAATGCGTTAATTTTGTTTTAAATATCTTTTTATACTTTATTATGAAAGTAGAAATGTATAAGGGTATAGCAAACACAGATGTTATATATCATTGTATTTACCTGCAAATTTTCCTGGAATATTTCCTCGGCCGGATAAGCACGCACTGATTCGCGGATTCGCTTCTTTACAGCCTCATTTGCGTGCTTGGCAAAGAAAGCCTTTGACAACATGATGCATTCCGCACCACGACTCACCTGAAACAAGCACATATTTACACATGTTTTTTCTTGCTTGATATTATGATTAAATTTCTTTCAATCATAACTTTGTAATCAGTTTGGTAAATTGATTGTGGATATACCGGACTTCTACAACCAATGGTTGCATTATTGTCTTTATGTAAACATTGCTATTACTATTACGATAAAATTCTTCCAAAACAACATTAACAACAAAAACAAATTACAAAAGGTCAACAACAAAGGTTCAAAGTAAAAACGTAACAAATATATGTCATTTTAGATCTATGTATTCGTCATTTTTTTACATCTATTAACATTTCATGGTTAACTGATATATTTATATACATCATTATGGTTTATTAGTTTTGTCGATCTTACACAATATGTAAAGAAGGGCACCGATTGATATTTTGTATACATTGCAACAATGCTGATTTTATTATTTGTTCAACTTTTCAATAATCTCAATGTAAACCACATGTAAAAGAGACGAGTACAATACGAAATAACGAATAATACTGTAGATCCATTACTTTATAATAATATTGTGATATAAGTTATGATATTATGTACTTACTAGACTAACAGAGGTATGAGAGACTTCAATATCATCGTCAAATTGTATAGAATCCAGGCCCTGAAATCAATTTGTTCACACAAAATTAGAAAATAGGTTTCTTTTCTACTAATATTATCATAAAGTAATGATACAACATTAATGTTTGAATAACTCTTTTCTAGGATTTTTTGTAACAAAAGCAGGTCACTCACCGATTAAAATGATGAAGAAAAAAACTATTTTAGTTTTCTATAACAGAATACTTGACATTTTGAATTAAGAAATAAAGTGACACTCGCTTTATTACAATAAGTAAATAGATATGCCCTTTTCCTTGCTGTACAAGGCATTCAAAATGACTAAAAATTCAAAAAGTCAATAGCTGATTAAACAATCGGAATTTTATTCGGTCATAGTAAAGAAATCAGTCAGTTGAAAAAAAAAAACAACAGTTTTATTGACTTATAAAATGGCTACATGCAGACTCACAAATATATCCCTGGGTTTCATGATTGACACCTGCACAAATACTGGTCCTGGTTTTGCCTGGCCGGCAGAAGGGTCAGGTGTTAGTTCCCGTTTCTTAGGAAGACACTTTGATGGTGGTTCATAACGTTTTCTCTTGTCAAAACTGCTCTTTGTTGATTGCTTGATAATAATAATAATAATAATAATAATAATAATAATAATAATAATAATAAAGTCGTATGCAATACATAGTTCCTTTAAGACTCGGTGTTAGTTTTGTTCATTTGAATTTGAAAACAAATTGCACGCATTATTACGCATTATTAGTTTTACCTGGAACTATACGTTTCTTGCGTTATATAAGTTTAAATATTCTTAACCAATTTAGTAAACTTACAAAATGAGCTTTCTTTGTTTGTGGTGATTGACTGTACTTCTCTTTTGTAAACTTTGAATCAACGTTTTCTTCTTTGTCACCTTCATCTTTCTAAAAGCAGAAATATAAAACTGTACAATGATCGGCGGAAAACCTATTTTTAAAAGATTAAACGATTTTAAAAAGACAAGTTTCCATTTTGTAAACCAAGTGTTGAATAAACTGCGAACAATACAAGTTACTAGTAGTTCTTTAGAGACCAACCTGTTCCGATCCTTTTATATTATGTATAGTTTTGGAAATACAATGTACCAATAGAGAATAGAGTCGTATGTAAGGGCGATAGAAGACCTAGGCGATGCTATACCAATCATATCGACAACCAACCAGAAATCCGCGATAAATTTGAACAATGGTTGGCTTTAATGTAAAGAAAAAAGGTAAGCTATCCAACCGTCTTTTATAAGCTTGTCCCTAAGTTTGTTTGGCGTTTTTTAATAACTTACTTCTTTCACTTCTTCTTCAATAGTTTTCCTTTTTCGTAGACCAGAATCTACTTTTGGAGCTGGAATAATACATGGAAAATGTATCATTAGATAAATAAATTGATTATCTTGATTAGATTGGACTAACTTTTACTATAAAGAATTTTAAAAACTTTTACATCACATTCATTGGAAACATCATTTTAGCCATTAATATATGGTTATCGTTAACCTTGGGTTAAGCCATATAGGCGTACATTTTTGGAAACTTACCGAAGACGACGACTTTCATTTTGGCCATTGATATATGATTGTCGTTAACCTTGGGTTTAGCCATATAGATATACATTCATTAGCAACTTACCGAAGATGACAGCTTTCATTTTAGCCGTGGACATATGGTTATCGTTGACCTTAGGTTTAGCGGAATAGGCGCTGGCCGTCACGCCTTTAAGTCTTTTCAGGACAACACATGAACCCTGTTATATAAATAATAATTTGTGTTCTATTTTGTATTAGAAATGTTCACGACATCAATAAAATGCAATGACATTTTGTCAATTATAATTTCTAATATAGTGCAATATAGTCTTTATTGAAGAGAGATTATCTCATATCACGAACCTATCAACATACACTTTAATTAACAAATATAATGACTTTACAGACGATATTTATAATAAAAACTTTGTTCTCTTACCGACTTTATAATGTACACCCATTCAGAGTTGTTACTATTTGCAACAATTGTGGTATTTCTCCTGAAAAGAATATCACATACTTGCTTTTAATTGTCAAGGGTAAACGATTATTTTCATGCAAAAAGAATGAACATTACAAAAAATCACCTGTGAAATCAAAGCATATGTTTCGGAAAAGAGCAAACATAACCCCTACATTTTCCAAAAACTCCAGTAATTCGTTTATAAAATGCGATCGTAGTACATTTATATATCAGTTATATATTATTTTAATAAGAAACTATTAAACTTATAAGTTTAATACTTAATTTAAAATATGAAAAATAAAAATAGGCTTACTTGTAAAAATGCAGCAGGCAATGTTCAGGGTGTTCGACAAGTTGTTCTATTGGCCAATCTTTCATGAAATCCAGGTTACTGTAATCAACATGTATATGACTAGTGAGGTAGGGACAAATATATTACATTATCTAGTAACTGAAGAATAAATACAACACGCATCTTAGGTCTACTTCAACAACCTCTGACCCTCACAATATTACTTTATAAATTGATTAAACTTTGATTGGGGAGAAAGTTATAAGATTCGATTCTGTTATTCACTTTAAAGTCAACTTTTATAAAGATAATCGAGCACTGTGTCATTCCAATAGCCGAATGACTAGTTCGCACGGTACGTATAATCATAGCATTGTAAGGGATAAGGAAACAATTAACCGTGAAAAAGCAAGTGCATGTAACAATAAAAAGCTTGGAAAATAACAAACCTGATGAATTTGATATGATCAGGTAAATCTCCCTCGGCCCCGGACATGAATATATCAAAGAAATCCTCTCTGCCAATAGACAACAGCTGGACGGTGTCCTGACTGGTAACAGTAGCTGTTCGTTTAGAATGATGCAGTAATGCCAGTTCGCCGAAACTCATACCTTCCTTCATAACTGTTGCTATCTTAACAAATGATGCACCCGTCTTCGGATCTTTGAGCAAAATCGTTACAACAGCTGTAACACAAGTCACATGATCTATAAATAGTGCGGTATCTAACTAAACACATATATTTGTAACATAGAAAGGCGAGTATGTTCGGTACCAGTTAATGAGGTTTCCGATGCAATTTTCAAACTGTTTAGACTATTTGCGTTGTATTACCGGTATATGGTTTTGACCAGAAAGCTGATTACCCTTATATGAACCAAAGCATTCTGGGTACCATAACTTTAAAGGAAAAGAATGCCATTAAACACATCATTCAAATATATAAAAAGATATTTGTTTCACATCTACTAGTACGTTTCACTTATACGATATATATTTATATATTCAAATTCACATCCTTAACTACGTTCATTTTCTCTCTATAAATGGTTTAGAGGGAAAAAAAACATAGTTACATATACTTCCATCATTGACAATTTGCAAAGAACACAAGCGCTTACCATGACCCGAGAGTATAAAGTAAAAGTTTTCAGCAAAATGACCTTGTCGAATAATGATTCGTTTTGGTGCGACACTGAAACAATCAAGAAAAGCAATAATTAACTAAAATACTAGAATGAGCCGCGTCACGACAAAACCAACATAGTGCGTTTTTGACCAGCATAGATCAAGACCAGCCTGCGCATCCATGCTGTTCGCTTACAGACCCTATAACAAGTAAAGAAACTGATAGCGAACATCATGGATCCTGATCAGACTGCGCGGATGCGCAGGCTGGTCTGGATCCATGCTGGTCGCAAACCTATTATGTTGGTTTTGTCGTGACACGGCTCATATGTATGCAGTAATCACACTAAAGTTTACATATTGTTTGTGTTAAGACCATTTATTGCTAGCCCGAATGGTGGTTCGGCCATTGAGCGCCTGTTGATGTAACAGAGAAGAGTGGGTTGGTTCCTAATACTAATAGTAAATAAGTCACTGATTATATTTAAATAATCAAGTCAACCTTAACTGTAATTAAAGAAAATAGTAAAAAGTATAAACTCTTTTTTTTTATTTCTTGATTTCTTGCCATTTCAAACAAGATTGTCTACTGTTTAAACCGGTGTTAGAAAATCTGTCTTACAGCGTAGTTTTTGTACGTCCGTTGATATAATGCATTTATCTTTAGAAACACTTACTTTGAAATGATAACAGGAATAAAATACAGGTAGTCAAATTAGTTTTTATAGGACAATATACTAAAATATACATGTACTTACTTTTCATACCATGCGACCTTGGCAAGTTTTTCCTGCATGTGAAGTGGGTATTCAGCATATGACCTTAAACATTGCAGCCCAAACATTGCCTGCATTAACACATTTTACCGTTAAAAATGTTATATGAGAAAAAAAAACTTTTTTTATTTCTAGGAAAACATATGTATAGATAATATGTCATTTACTAATTTCCTACTTGTTAAAACAACCTGCTTACAATATTGCCTTATATGAATACCAGACTCATTGTAAGTAACTATAAACTATATATAACTTAATGAAGCTGTAATTTTAGTTTTCGATTTTGCAGTTAATATGTCAACTTTCTCTGCTGCAATAAAACCATCAAAGGATTAATTCTAAAGTTCCACGTGCATTTTATATAGTGCAAAAATATCATCAAATACACTCTGTTGACAGTCAAATTTTGACATAAGCAATGTCGCTAGGGGGAAAAAATGTTACCGTTTGAACCTGGTCCGGTGTGCGATCCTCAGATGCTGTGTTTAATATTGCCTTTGTTTCAGAACTCAGGGAGATCTGAAATAAGATATTAACAATGTAATAGAACCACAAATATAACAATATTTGAGCCGTGTCGTGACAAAACCAACATAGTGCGTTTGCGACCAGCATGGATCCAGACCAGCCTGCGCATCCGCGCAGTCTGATCAGGATCCATGCTGTTCGCTTACCAACCCTATTACAAGTAGAGAAACTGATAGCGAACAGCATGGATCCTGATCAGACTGCGCGGATGCGCAGGCTGGTCTGGATCCATGCTGGTCGCAAACGCACTATGTTGGTTTTGTCGTGACACGGCTCATTTGTATTACTGCAGGTAAAATATATGAACGAGGAGGGTGCATTGATATTACTTCAGTTTAACGTAAAGTAGTTGATTTCTTTCAGCGGGTAGACCTTACATGGTTTGAAATATAAATGTAACAAACGTATTTAGATTTAAAAATTTCATTTACATTCTATTTTGATAATATCATATCAAAGTCACATTTTATCAGATTTTATACCTCCTTTTTCGCCTTAAAGTAGCTAGGATCGAAGGAAAGTCCAGCATTTTTCATGTTTTCTTCTGTCGTGGCTTCTTCACTGGCAATATCCATAAATGTTCTCATAGTGGTCATATTGCTAGACGCTTGTCTGTTAATATTAAACATCATATTATATTGGTTATATGACCTAATATAACCGATCTAATATTAAATTTCATAATAATTCTTACCATTCCAGTACACAATATGATATAAATTAAGAAATACGACATTGAAAGGAAACATTTTAATACTTTTCGGTGGAAATACCAACACTCACATAAGGCATAATTATTTTCAGTAATATTCAAATGCTAGAATGATTGGTTTAAGATAAAATGGAAGATTATTGTTCTATTTCCTGTATGGCTCAATATCTAAAGTTATGTCAATAATTTATTTCATATAACATAAGGTAATTATGTCGACTTTGCAATAGTCTCCAACGTTAAACTTATAAATATCCATTAGTATAATTACTTATTTTCTACTCTATATAAAGATGCACTAACAGACATTTTAGAAGTTGGATACACGATATACACAATGTTCACTACTACTATTAATCTACAAGACTGATCCTAGTTTTCACTCACAGAAAGTTGTAAAGATTTTTTTTTATAAAAGATCATGGAATGTGGTAATGTCCGAACAAGAAGAGATTTTGAGATATTTTGTTACAAGCAAAAACTGTCCGATATGTTTCTACATTGAAGATAAAAAATAAACAGACAGTAGAGAAAAACATACAATTTTTGTCTACGACAGAGATTATGTTTTACAAAGAAGGTAAGAAAGTTGCGATTGGTATTACCGTTTCATACTCTCCGCCCTAAAACATTTCACAGAATTCAGTGAAATATCTTAAATATCAACAATAATGTCAATCAGCAAATATCTGGCATGTAAGATCTGAGATTAATTAAAGCATGGACGCACAACGATGGCAAAACTATAAAATTTAGAAAAAAAAGATAATTGATAACGACCCATGTATTAATATGTCAATAAAATTATCACCCAAAGGAAAATGCTTGACTAAACTAGAAAAATAATGCTAACGATATTCGAAAATGAATATTTCATAAAATAAGGGAGGCTTCAAAATAACACGCGTTGAATTCGCAATGATTCCGAAATAAGTAAAAAGTCAGTTCATACTAAATTACAGACTGTTCCATGATGACAATGTTCATCATCAACATATTTTTTACAAACTACTAATCGCTCGGCTATTCATCAAACATTATAAGTAAATAACATTTCTTTTATTACATGGTTTGACAATTCACTGTTTCAAAATATTAATCTGACCAAACGGGGACCCCTCGATAACAACCAAAAGTTATAGTAATTCATCTTGACTATATATCTTTATACTAAAGCTCTAAAGTTAGTTTATGAGCATTTATCTGTTCACACAAAGGTCGAATCGCTATATATAGATATATAATAATTTACAGCTGTATTTAAACTCATTTATGTCGAAGTTTAAAAGATCCGCGTTAATGGTAGTTTATTTTCAACACTATTAACACACTTTTATGAGTCCGGTAATTATTAAACTTATCTGCTACTGTTTCGTATAATAAATTAATCGGTAATTCAGCTATGGGTTTATTTCGTGTAATAAATTAAACGATAATTCAACTTTTGGTTTATTTCGTGTCACTAATTAAAAGGTAATTCAACTATGGGTTTATTTCGTGTAATAAATTAAACGGTAATTCAGTTATGGGTTTATTTCTTATAATAAACTAAACGGTAATTCAACTATGTGTTTTCCATATTAAAGACAGAAGAAGCAGCCAATGTGTTCGCATAACACAATGCAACCGCATCAAAATCTTAAGATGAATAAAAATAAAATAAGGAAAAATATGTAACGTTATTTTCCTTAATTTTGAGCAATACGTTTGAAGGTCAAGGTAAATGTGTTAATGCTAAATTTCAATTACGTCAAAGGGAAACTCATGTCCAGGGTTAAGTTGCGTTCAAGTTGAAAGGGTCTAGCTACAGAACACTTAGATTTAGATTGTCTACATACAGCCAGAAAATGCTCAAAAATTCAATTTTTGAAATTCTGTTTTTTTTTAAGAATATAGCTAGCATTTTATCGTATCGTCATATATATAGCACTGTGCACTTTCAAGCGGCATCTTTTAGACATGTAAACTTTCAATAAATCAATAACTAAGACAGATGTCAAAAATAATTTTTTAGCCAAATAAATACAACATTATCCGATTGCAATGTTATATTATGAAATTTATGTACATGAACAATATATACGAAAAAAGAAAGAGAAAGGATGTGTCCCAGTTTGAAATTCATCGGACTGGAAAACGTTTACGTAAGAAAACTAGTGATTTTGAGCAAAGTAAAATTTGTATTTAGATATTTCTCATTGAATTTCGGTTATAATTCAATAAACTACTTACTTTCCTCTAGCCGAGGCTGACAGACGACAAATCGCCTTGATCCCTTTAACACAGTTCACAAACCTATCTTTTAGCTGTAACATAAAGTAATCATAATTTCAACATTAATAAAGCTGATAATAAAATGGTTCAGAACTTCAAAAGTAAGACAAACTTTGATTTATTTAATTATTTTATTTTTTTTTGCTTAATATGTTTATCATTTATAAAATTACAGAAAATAACTAACTTAAAATCATTACAAAATCAGTATTTTCAAGAATTAATAGATGGTCATACAATGTATTAAGTCATGCAAAAACTGAAACATATAACTACACAAGAGCGGTGAGGACACTTCTTCTTCTTGAATCCTCGGGCTCATCTTCAATAATTCTCAATTTCAATTTCGTGAATCCACGTCTTCAACAAACAAAAATCACGTTTTAAATTTTCCCTTGGGAATTAAAAAATTTCAATTTTCATAGTTCACGATTTAAACTTAAAAATTCACGTTTGGAATAAACGATTTAAATTCGTAAATTTTCATGATTTTCCAACTTCGTAAATTTCATGATTTTCAATTTCGTGAAGAGGGAAATTGAATTTCTTGCAGTTGATATCGTGAACTCATGAAGTTGAATTCCAGAAGTTGAAATTGTGAATCATGAAGTTGAAATCCTGAATTCAAGAAGTTGAAATGTCCTCACCGGTCTTTCGTTTATATCATATATCAGTGACTACCTGCTTGGCTCTAATTTCTTTCGCAGTTTTTTCCATTTGAATGCGCTGAAATGCGGTTGACTGACGCCCACTTGGGCTTGACATAACCATTTGGCTCCGTTTCTTGCCGCCAAGAGGCGTAAGTATTCCAGAATCAGGGGTCAAGCGGTCATCAGTCATTCCACTTATAGCAGCACCCACAGATTTTTCGGGGGACAGAGACGCCCTACTTTTAGCATCAAGGTCTGAAATAGTTAAATTATATTGTGACAGTCCAATACGACCTAAATTAATGTCAATTAGATTAAGAAAGGATCGAAATAAAACGGATCTGTTTGCAAAAAACTTACCAAAGATAGTGGCAACAAAAAATGTGATTCACAAATCATGCAAGCATTTGCTAAAAAAATGAACAAGACTTGGTTTTAATTAATAAAATTCAGTTATTTTAGTCAGTTGCTAAACCATTGAACGGACAAAACAAACCTATTAAGGTGATTTCTAAATAATGCCTGACTTTTCCTGTTCAGAAACGAGTTACAGCTCTTATTAAATGTGGTTGTCTCCATATCAAAAATACGTTATAAATACTTATTAGTTTAAATACTTAGTTTTACCCATGATATATGGTGCTATATCAGTCAAATATATATCATATTTGTAAAAGAAAATCAACTATGAAAAGTAAATAATATGGAAGTGGCAGAGCTAAAATTCATATTTATTTGTAGGTCTATACTTTCTCAGATATTTTCACAAGACAATTCAGGATGGCTACTGATAATTTGTGTATTGCGCACCTTTAAAAATGTCGATGTAACAGCTCGCTGTGTAACAAAAAGAAGTTTTCGTAAACATTTTTTATTGTTTTTTTCTTGAAAAAGTAAAATTAAACAAAAGGGTTATTTTTCGTTTTTCGTGAAATTTGATATATATTTTCACTTAAAATGATAAAATTAAATATATTTCACACGCCGTTCCGTCTCGTGAAAATATATTAAATATAACCACGTTTCGTGAAAATATTTTCCATATTTCACAAAAATCGAAAAAAAATATCCTCTTAATATATCTTAACACACACTAGTTAAAGCCATTAATTGTCTAATTTCTATCCAATATATAATGTCATTAAAAAGTAATTGCTGCATTTAATAGTTGTTTAGTGCAATAGATGCTTACAAAGAAAAAATCAATGCAATAGAAAATCTTTTCTAAAGAAATTGTTATATCGTCAAAGGCTCACTGCCACACACAAGGAAAGGAACGAGTACATAAATGAGCCGCGTCATGACAAAACCAACACAAGAGCTGTCCGTAAGACAGCGCGCTCGACTTTTTTATTGCTTGCCAATAAAAAAAGTTTTTGCAGTAAAAGGCAATACAAGAATCTCTGTATTTTTAAAGTGAACAATGGCCATGAGCATTAAGATATTTAGTGAAGAATTATTTTACTGAATTGTGTGATACCCTTGAACACTGCAGCAAAGTTTGAAATGTTTAAGTCAAAAGAGGGCTGGTAAGAAAGAAAAAAAAAACTGAGTTGAGCCTTAAATAAATTTAATAGTATTAAACCCACTTTGAGAGAATAAGGTATTTTTACGTCACTCAGAACACCTTGGTAAATGACATAATAACATAATTTTACAAGAAATCTATGCCAAGGAAGCAGTATATATGATATATGAAATATGCATATACTACTGATTTTAATTTCAAGTACAAAAAAAGAAAAATAACTAGTTGTTTGATACCCTTGAATATTACAGCAATGTTTATATGACATAATTTATGGTAAAGTGAACAAGTGGATAGGAATGAATTTTTTTAGATTTTTTAAGTTTTTTAGTGCTTGCCTATAATACAAAACATTGACAGTTAAGGGCCATAATTCAAATAAAATCTTTGACAGAATTACCTTCTCCTGGACATGTTTGGGAATCATGATTGTAAACAAGTATTCCAACTTTCAAATTAATATCTCAAACAGTTCAGTCAAAAAGTGGACTGGTACTAAAAACTTAACCAAGATTCTAAGTCGATAAAAGGCCTTAATTTTTAAAACAAATCCTTGACAGAGTTACCTTCTCTTGCGTACAGATGGGGGTAATGATGTGAAATAGCATTAAAAGTTTCAAAGCAATATCTCAAAGGGTTAAGGCAATAAGTGGATTTTACCCATATTCAATGTATTTTCTAAGTCAAAAAGGGGCATAATTCTGTCAAAAACCTTGACAGAGTTATGTCCTCTTGTCTGTTGATGAAGGTCGTGATGGTAAACAAGTATGGTCAGTTTCAAAGCAATACCTCCAATGGTTTTGAAATAAAGTGAGGTGGTACAAAAAACTTAACCAAGCTCAATACACTTTCTAAGTCAAAAAAGGGCCATAATTCTGTCAAAAACCTTGACAGAGTTATGTACTCTTGTCTGTAGATGGAGGTTATGATGGTGAACAAGTATGGTAAGTTTCAAAGCCATACTTGTAATACTTCTGAAATAAAGTGGGGTGGTACGAAAAACTTAACCAAGGTGTGACGCCAACGCCGACGCCGGGGCGAGTAGGATAGCTCCCCTTTTCATAGAAAAGTCGAGCTAATAATGGGTTTGCGACTAGCATGGATCCAGACCAGCCTGCTGATCAGTATCCATGCTGTTCGCTATCAGTTTCTATACTTGTAATAGGGTTGGTAAGCGATGCGCAGGCTGGTCTGGATCCATGCTGGTCGCAAACCCATTATGTTAGTTTTGTCTTGACGCGGCTTAAATATGTATCATGGGGCAATGAAATAACCACTTGTGCTGACATATACTACAACGTTCATAGATCAAGGAAATAAACTAACCTTTATCACCGCCCTCTTCAGTTATAGGCTGCAAAATGTCAGGCACTGGAGTTTTCCTGCCAGATTTTCCAGTGTCATCTTTTGTTGGTAAATCTATTTCTTCATCTTCATCTTCATCGGAACTTTCTTCTTTTTCTCTTTCCGCAATTTCGTCCAAAAATATTACATCTTTAAGAATGTGTTTGTAACGATTGAAAAAATAATATTTTGCGTCCTTAACAACTCGCTTTTTCTCATTTTGGAGATTATTTCGTTCTTCTTTATTTTTATCTACGACAAAACGCTGAAACGCTTGAAGACTTGAACCTGTATAGTTCTCTGGTTTTGAATAATAGTCCAAATCCGTTGCCGCCGGGTCATGTTTACCGGCCATCGCTCGTCACCACACCTTCTCGACGCCTTACGTCCTTACCAACGAAAAATATAGTGACGTAAACATATTGACGTCATGACGTCGCGAACGTTCTTTTTCGATATTGAAATCATCATAATTATGAATATTATTTGTACATTCAATTTTCACTTCAAATAACTAGTTGTAATGTAAAGATTAATCCAAAAGGATTAATTCCTTAGAAAATGCCTACAGAAATAGCACCATTCAATAAATCCACGATACCATTTTGTGCTCTGAAAGATCTAACAGTGAGGACATCGATTAAAACCCTCGCTCCCAGTTTAATCAGCTGCTATTTTTCTGTGATATTTTACCGTAAATGTGTTAAACCCTTCATATAAACGAGCCACAATCAACTTTTGTTCGCATCCTAGAGTAATATGTTAAAGCGGTTTTATCTTTGTCGTTTGTAAGGAGATTTATTTATCTTAATATATAAACCTAAATCCTCTACGAAACCTTTGTTAAACGTGTTTCACTTATCTTTTTTTATTTGAAAAAATAAAGCACCCGAACATTTTTTACAGTGATTTAGATGACCAAAAGGAGCTGAACTGAAACGGCTATTTTTCTTCCGAAAAAAATCTCTCACGAGAACTTTCTTTATATTTATAAATAACGGAAATTACTGTGTGCTTTAGTCTCAAAATATTAACGACTTGTTAACCAAGGAACACTTTGTATTTAAAAGGTTGATAATGGCGCAATAAACAAAAACAAACACCGTCTCTTTTCAAATGTTTAAACAACTTTAAATGGAGAGGCGGTCTTTATTTATGGTTAAAAGGCAATTGAAAAAATTCATAGTATTTTATATAACAATAAATAAAGCTGGATGATGATTGAATGTACATAAATAACGTGGATGGTTAAAAGAGGCCAGGGAGATGTTCTCATTTTATATTAAAACAGTTGAATAAAAGAACGATTAAAATTAAATCAACATTTTTTTCTCTCCACATTTGATTAGGGAGGACAATGTTAGACACGGCATAATTGTGTTGATATGTTGATAATTAATAAGCATGTGAAAGGGCCATTGGAATTAACCAGTAATTTGAGTTAAATGAACAAAAGTTGAAAATGTATGTTAAACATAAAAATGTAGGATAAACTTTTTACCAAACATATGCTCTATAAACATGTATACTCGTACATGTTTACTGTTTATTCCAATATATTGAAATAAATTCAGACTACAAAATTGTTTTAAACCGATATACATGGAGATGAACGTTAATTAAAAGTTAATGATCTACTTAATTTCATTTATTGGCAAACCATTTTAAACATGATAATCATTTTTTAAGTTTTCAGTCAAACCCTCAACACGAACCTCAGCTCCTTTTAAGTCAATGTTTAACATTCTTTAATGTAACGTATTTTTCACTCGGGTAACGTTAGAGAAGCGTGGGGTTTATTTTCTACTTGGCTGAAATGTCGAGTGACGAAGAGGAGATTTATCATCACACCATTATTTACCCAAGTACTTGAGTCTGATATCTCAAAATGACAACCGTTCTGTTTCAAATGTAAACAGTAGTACATATTAAAATAGAGAGAAAATAAGAATCCCTAAAGAAAGCCCAAAACGGCAATATTGAAAATGTTGCAGGCTCGGTTTGATTGAGGGCGTTCATGAACAGTACGTTACGGTCCACGCCCCCTAGCACCGGCTTAAGCAGAATTCAACATTTAAACATTAAATGGTAAAATTTTGAATTTAGAAACATCCGCAGATGTGTTCATGCGGTGATTATCATGGAACCTTCAATGTGACACTTCCGTGCCATTCCATGAAAAGCGGCATATGGTCCCCAAGTAATAGAAAGCGTGTGCCCCAAACGAGAAAACAATGGGCGGAACTAAACAAAATGAACACTTTTGAAAGGGGATATAAGGTTATGAAGCCTGCATATCACAGATAAGACGTCAAAAGACAAAATGAAAAAAATCAGGCAACATATCCTAAGGGCGATTCAACATTACTCAAGTAGAAATATTGGAACCACCCAACTAGAAAATGCCAAACAGTTAAAACTAAAATACAAAAAAACAAAAACAAAAAAACACAACAATAATGTCGTGCTGAACGATCTTTAAGAATCGGGAATTGAATGTACGGGGCGAGTTTTTACAGCCTCCGCACGGAGTCTGTAAAAACCTACATTTTAGCATGTTTCTACAAAGAGTTCTTCTAAATTATATATTCCTTATATACTTATATTTATTTCATTCGTGTGGGATTTTTTTGATAATTGCCTATAGACAGAATGATTACATTGCGATGTTCATATTGTGAATATATTATGTTTAGCTCTAGGTATAACACACATATAAAAGTCAACCTAACTTGCCACACACTAGCATACGTCGATTTTAAAGGTGTTCTGTAGTACTTATCTGGGCAATATGATTTGAAGTTTTATTAGAAACGACATTAATTTATTTAATTTATTACTTAATTTTGAAACATGGAGATTGTTTTGATGGCGAATGAAAATCCAATCGTTGTAGAATGTCCATTGGCAACACTGACTTCGACCACAGAATATCAGTGTATGATAACGCATGTAAGATACCATTTGAATTATATCTAAATATAGACACCATTTAATGTACATAATTATCATTTATCAAATTAATAAAACGTTTTAAAAAACTTCAGACAGACCATGAAATTTAGATGAAGACTTTTTGAAATATTTCATTCGTTATTTATTTAGTGATATTAAAATGTTATAGATGAAGCTAATAATTATTGACATATTGAAGAGTTAAATCCTTATCGTAATGTATTATCTAATCGTTGTTTTCTCTATCCATCGATTATGGGTTTAATAAGAAATGTTTATACAGTGTAATTAAAAAAAAGTAAGAACAGATAATAACAAAGGAAATAACAAAATAACAAAAACAACAACAACAACAACAACAACATCATCATCATCATCATCAATAAAAGGTCTTCTTTATTGTCTCGTCGTGACTATGGGAGATAAATATGAGAAATGAGCCATCAATCTTTCCGCAATTATCCCCCTTTCATTCTTCTCGGTTAAGCAATGTATATGCTTGAATAAAGATTTCAAAAGGAACAAATTCATTATTTTTTTAAACTTAGTGCTTATAATAATGTACTTTTGCTTTTATTGGATGATGGGGGCATTTTGTAACAGGTCTTATGGCCCTTTGTAAACGGTTATATTGTAAACAACCGTTTATGTACAGTCATATAATCATAACCTGTCAGGAATATTTATAACGAATTTACAATACACTAAACTTTTTTTTTAGGGAATAAAATGATATTTCTCCAGGAATTGACAGCAGCCGTGTATATTTGTTATAAAGATTTTGACAGATTATATGATCGAATATAAACGGTTGATTGGAAATATAGCCCGCTAGTCGAGAGATATATTGCAAACAACCATTTACATAAGGACATATAACTTGTCAGGAATCTTTATAACGAATTAATGATAAGCAAACTTCTTCTTTTTGAGAAAAAAGTGTGATTTTTCATAAATTGACAGCAGTCATGTTTATAAAACTATAAAATTGTTACGATTATTCAATGGAAAGCGACGTTACAATGTGCAGTATGAAAAAAAGTTTATAATTCTGCAAGAAAAATAATTTCTGGCGTTGTGAGAATGTTTTCTTTTCTACCATCCATAATATTGACTGTCATTATACGAGGAGCTAAAATGGTCTCCTTTCATTGACCAAATACGGTCCTATATCAAGAATCGTTTTATTCTTTAACTAAGTATATAGCTATATGCGTCGGTATCTCTGTAGGAGCCGCTCATACAATTCTCAGACGTAAGTGCCAGATGGATTCCCCATCTCCTTACAAAAAAGCAAAAACTTGCTCGGGTAAGAATCTCCAAACAATTGTGGAAACAAATCCCTAAATACAAAAAGCGATCTTCTGCACATATCATCACTGGCGATTAGACGTGGGTTCGTTTTTATGAGCCCAAGGAAAGATACAAAACAATATATGGACAACCAAAGGAAGTCAATGACCTTGCATAGCAAAACGCACAATGAGCGTCAAAAAGGTAATGTATGATTTTTTTTACCAATCAAGTTCATGCTATTCAAATTGCCGCACCAAAGGGAAAATCTAATCTGTAAATGCCAAGTTTTACAAAGGGAAGGTCCTTCATAAGTTAAAGAAATATTTAAAAAACCATCGACCACCAACTGGTCTTTATGGTGTCACGTTGTTGCATGGCAATGCTTCGTCACACAAAGCGGCCATTGTACGAGAATATCTGAAACAGGAAATTTTGCCGAGCTTCTTCACCCTCCTTTTTACGCCAGATCTTGCCCTTGTGACTTTTTCCCATTTCATAGGGTCAAAAGATACCTTGCTGGAAGAAAATATCAAACGCTATTTTTCAGTGTCTGAACAGTATACCTCGAAAATATTATGAAAACGCTTTTAAAAGATTAAACGACTAAAACTTTGTTTATCACATGGCGGTGAGTATTTTGAAAAAAATTGGGATAATTATTTTGGCACTGTTTGAGAAGCACTTCTGAAAATTGACCCAGTTGAATTCATATCTCAACACCCCTCGTATGTGAATTTTCATTTAAATCTATTCCCAATTCCGTAGCGGCATCTGAGATAATGTACGTTTTAGAACTTCTATCATCGGAGAATAACATTGATAGTTTAATGTTTATTTCCGTGTTTTACTACTATCAAAACTTTTCGTAAACCTACTTTTACATTTTGAATTCTGATGATAATTCTGTGTTTGGTAATGCATTCTTCATCATCATCGTCATCTCAAGTAATTGCATCACTCCGCAAGGAGTATACTCGCAATTGAATTACATTTGATCGTTTTTTTTATGCGTATCTTGAGGTTCATTGTCTTGATGGTAATTTTGGCTTCTCATTTTTATCACTGTGAAGCAATCTATTGTTATCTTTTGGACACCACATCCATTTATGCCGCATACTTACGTTTTCTTGCATTTCTATCCACTTGCACGTCTATCCACTTGTTTTCTATAACATATTCAGTTGCTTCACAGTCCCCCATCTCTGTTCAACAGTCAGTTGCTTAAACAGATCCAAACAAAATATTTCATGATTATTCGAGGAACAAATTTTGCTGATTATATTTCTATTATTCACTTTTTAGGATTTTAACAGGAATCCCTTTAGTTGGGTGTTTTACAGATTGGGCGGTCCCAACACCATGTTTTGTTTCTGACGCTATTATCTGATACTCTACCTCCTAATTGACGAAATCACTCAATAATTCTACAGATTCTTCTTCCTTAATATATCTATAGTAACTTGATAAAATGTAAGACAATTTCTTTTATAAGGGATTGTGCATTATACTTATACCTACCACCTTCTCTTATGTTTATAACTGCCACATCTAACAAAGTTTTTCTAAACGTTTTGCATTTTTCACATTCATTTGCGAAACTTTTTCTATGTTTTCAATATATTTTCCTATTCTTCTCCTTTCGCCCCAATATTTATATTTAAGAAGATTTTTTTGCAGCGACATAAACTAA